TGCCATCGGTGTGCACTTGGGTGTGTCCTCAGGTGACGTGCATGTGGGTCCGCCTTGTACGTGTGCAGCTGTGTGGTGCGTCTGTGCTGGTCCTGTGCCGTGTGTGGCCGTGTCGGGTTGGAGTGGGCCGGCCAGCCTTTCCAGAGCCCAGTGCTGATTCTGCGCCTCTCTGAGTTCACCACAAGCTACTTTTCCTTGTCCTTGGAGCTCTGGGCAGGGTGTACTCAGGTGTGCAAACATGCACACGTTCTTTTGAGTGGCTCTTCTGCCGAGTCAAGGGCGCCATGTGGTTTCCCCAGAGTGGGTGCCTCGATGGAGCCTGGGGGACAGTCCTTTGACCTTTAAGCATGTCCCATGACCTGCAGTAGCTCCTTGCTGTGCTCTTCACGTGTGCTTCCTTGTTTGCTTGTGAGCTGGACACAGTGTCATGCATCTCTGTCCCCTGGGCTTCCTGTCCCTCCTATCCACGCCTCGTCCCTGCTCTGGCTGGGTTTCCATCTCCTGGCTGACCTGGGGTTGTGTCCTGCATGCTCTGGACACTGCCTTTGTCTGAATGTCCTACACCCTCTCCGTCCTGCTGGAGAGCCTGCCGTGCAGGTCCGGCCGTGCTTCTTTGGCCTCTGGAATGGTGGCCGGTGGGAACAAGGGTTCCTGGGTGTGCTGTTGGTCTTGTGTCCTAGCTCTCTGTGCTGGGCACAGCAAGCATTCACTCAGGAAAAGACAGATGTCTCCTAGAGAGTCGGGGCAGCAGGGGCCACCTCTCCAGGGTGGACAGAGGGGGCAGGAGCTCATATGTAGTGGTTTTTACATCAGTGTTTTTAAAAAGCCGCTATTAGAAGTTGCTTTCTCTCAGCTCAGAATGGTGTTTCTTTCCCACCACCGTCTGGATTTGTAATTTTTCTCAGCAAAATATCTCACGCTTTCCAACCTAAGGGACTTCCTGTCCCCCGGGGGCGCAGTGGGCGCAGCACGGCAGCGGGGTTCGTGGGTACGTAAATACATCCAGATGTTTTTACTGATTTCTTGGCGTGTGGTGCCTTACGCTGGGGCTTCCTCCTTCCTTTCCCCCTAACCCCACTTCTGCTCCGTTATTTGTCTCTCCGTGATGTTTAAGTACATTCTCTCTAGTGCTTTGTCTTTCTTCCTCTTGAATGTTCCCTAAAATTATCCACAACTTGTGTTTCAAAACCCCCCCTTCCTATGTTCACCACAGCACCAGCCTTTCTCTCTAACATGTTTGTGGGGTTTTTTTGTTTTGTTTTGTTTTTTGTCTTTTTCCTTTTTATCCGTACTGGGGATCGAACTCACGACTGCCTGCTTGCAAGGCAGGCACTTATGCCACTGAGCTAAATCCCCAGCCCTGGTTTTTTTTTTTTTTTTTTTTTTTTGTCTCTCTTTTAAAAAAATGATACGAGGTCTCACTGTGTCATCCAGTCTGGCCTCGTTGACCTTGGCCTCCCACTCGGTGATCCTGTCTCAGCCTCCCAAGACTGGGGTTGCAGGTGTGCACCACCTCGCTGGGCAGTTCATCGGGCTGCGTCCTTTATGGCGGTGCCCAAACCTTCACCAGGACACTGAGCACTGTGCTCAGCCCGTGTTCTTTCTCTTAAAGACAAAGCAGATGCACTTACGCATCCTCAGCCACTCTGACAGGGACGTTCTGGCCACCCCACCACCAGCCTGCAGCTGAGCTGCTCTGGCCACCCAGAGGTCAGGGCCTCGAGATTCCTGCAGTCCCTGGGGCCCTTCCTGCCTGGCCCCCACAGCTGGCTCCGCCTCAGGGACACCTGTTTCCCTCCTCTGCACCCCCTCTCCACTGTACCCCATGCGGCCTTCTTCAAACAACTTTGCCCCCTACCTCTTTGTTCAAAAAGCCCTCGTCATTTATTCTTTGCAGACTGCATCTCAACCCTTCACCTCTCCTGAGTCTTCTGCTCCACAGGTTCCCAGCCGCACTGCCCCCTCCCCAGCCCCTGCCCTCCCCGCCGGGTCCAGGCCTCACGCGCCCTCCCCGTCCATGCTCCTCTTCAAGGTCATTAGAGCCCACTGGGTCCTCCTCGACACTTGGGTTCATCTGGTTCCCCGTGCGCCTTGCCTCGTGGTTGGGCCCCCTCCCCACACCCGTCCCCTCCCTGGCTTGGCTGGCTCTGCTGGCCACGTGGTCAGCGGGTCCCTGCCCCAGAACTTGGGGCCAAAGCTGTCCTTTTCCTCGCTGCATTTCCAGTGTGAATCGGTGCACAGAGGTTCATGCTGCTGCCCACAGAAGTAGCGAAAGACACACAGTTCCTTCTCAGAACACTGAAGCAAGGCACGGAACCAGCAGAGTCCTGCTCAGCTATCCGTATGTGATTGTGCCAAAAATTCAAATCAAAGCTACCACCTGCCCTTCCGGTGGGCGCCAGGGCTGCAGGCCTCCTTGGAAAACCACGGAGGCGGGCCACCCTCGGGCTGCTTTCTGCGGCTGTGTAAGAAGATGTGACCTTGGATTGTTTATGGAGCTAACATAGCTTTCTGTTGAGGGACTATTATCTCACTCTAACCCTACACCCATCGGGCACACACTGAGGCACACGTGGGCGGCATCTTGGGATAACTTCCCGTTCTCATTGAGCCAGTGAATTGCTGCCTGACCACGATGTGGTGAGAGGGGTCTGAACAGTAATCCAGAGAACGTTGCCCAAACTGCCCCGAACCCTCTAGCACGTGGTGGACTTGTGTGAAGCCCAGGAAACTGCAGCCTGATGGACGGGGCTTCAGGGTTCCCGAGGGAAGCAGCCATAGTCTCAGTTTCTGCCAGGGTGCTCGAGACGCTCACCACAGCCCTGTGCACAGCACCCTCCATCCAGTTGCAGGACACAGAAGAGGACCTGCGGCCGAGTTGGGGAGCGGGGCACAAACCCCAAAGACAGGAGGTTGGCCACCGATAGCTGTCATAGGCGGAGGAGCCTGAAGGGAGCAGAAAGGGCCCCAGGGCTGCAGACCGTGGGACTCCCCGGGGAGAGGACAGCAGCCACCTTGCCCGGGGGAAGGCCGGGGAGACGGGTGACGCATCTGCGCTGGGTGAGGCTCAGCTCGTTGCCTTTGGGTGGAGCAGCACTGCCCTTTCGTACGACCTGTAAGTTTCGTGCCACACAATCCGAGGCACACTTGTGGCACTGTGCTCGGGGGAGACAGTGTGGGGCTGGAGGGAAAACAACACACTCAGGATAAAGGGGACCATCCAACGTGCACCTCCACAGGCCCTGTTGTCTGTCTGGCACAGAGGAGACCAGTGACAGGATTAGAGGGGAAACACGCTGTCACCAGGAGCTGCCAGCAGGCCCTGCTCCTCCCAGTGATGCAGGAGCTGCCTGGGTCCCCCAGGATGCCAGGTGCAGGCCATAGTTACCCCAGGGCGCCAAGTACAGGCAGATGGACCTGGGCCGTGGGAAGAGGCTGGAGCTGGGAGCTGGGCAGCCTGTGGGGCAGGCAGGTGAGCAAAGCCTGGAGCAGAGCTTCGGGGAGGCCAGGCAGCCCCGCCACCTGGGGGCCTGTCAGCTCCGAGGACCAAGCCTGCCCTGTCGCACACCCCCTGCATACCTCTACCAGTGCAGCCCCACAGCCCCCATGGTCCCGGGGCCCCGGCTGGAGGGCGCTGGAGAGGCTGCCCGCTGTCCCCACCCAGGACACCTGGCACACACACCTGTTCCAGCTGCTGGAAAGAAACAAGCTAGGAAGACTTCGGTCCCCAAAATCCATGGCCCTAGGGTGGTGGCCTGGCCAGGGTGGCTCAGCCTAGATTCCAGGGCTGGGCCAGGGTTCCAGGTTAGAGTTCCTGAAGTGGGACAGACTTTTGGAAAAAGTGCAGGAAAAATTCATGACTTTGGTTGCTTCTCCTGCTATAACCACTATCTTAACTCAGTTCAGACTTTGGATTGGAAAGAAAATTGAGGATCTTAGCGTTGTTTCTTAGCTTAGAGGGTACGTGGGGTCGTGTGGACGTGTGGTCCTGTGGGCGGCAGATGTGTGGCCCGAGAGGGTCCCGGGGAGGAGCCATGTGCCGCCGGCTCAGTGTTTGACAAAGAAAAATGGGTGGTGCTGGCTCGCACAAAGATGCACTGTCTCCACAGCAGGGCAACCAGGAGAGAGGGAAGGGGAGAGCCGGGGAGGAGGAGGAGGAATAAGACAGAATGAGTGTTCACGCCGGGAAAGCGTCCAGACCCTCCCCAGCATGACGGTTCCATCAGTGTCCTGGCCCAGGGCGAGACTTGGGAGTTAAAACTGTCCCCTCGCAGTAGTGCTTAAAATCCTGGGAGTGGACACTGGGCAGCAGGCGAGCCCTCTAAACTGCGTTCTTAGCACACAAGGGGCGCCGTGGTCCTCCCTGAAAGGGGTTTTGTCCGCGCAGCGTCCACTCACAGTTTCCAGAGGAAGCCAGCCGAGGTCTGTGGCCATCTGGACTTGTTTATGTGCCGCCCAACTTTCTGGGACAGAGCTCCTCGGTGAGGGACGGCGCCGAGCAGCGGCTGCGCCTGGAGCAGGCTGCCTCCCCTGTTCTTCCCGAGCCAGAGTTTTGGGCTGAAGTTTAGATCGGTCCAAAGTATCACAAAACCCCGCGGGCTGTGGTCACCAGAGACCCGCCCCGCGGCTCCTGAGTTTGGCACCAGGGGCCCAGCCGCCTCCACCACCGCTTTGTGCCTTTTGAACCTTTTTTCAGTCACAAGCTGTCACCGAGGCCGGTGCCCTTCGGCCTGCAAACCAAGCATCCTACAAATCCTCCCCCTGACCGCTTGCTTTTGGAACGAAACAAGCTCCCGAGAGATTTTCCTAAGTGTGTAAAATGCCCACGAGCCGTGGCACAAAACAAAACCCCTGCCCACTCGTAGAGGAACAAAGCGTGTGTCAGATGGGCTTTCCAATCCGATCCGGACAGGAGGGCAGCTGGGGGCTCAGGCAGCACCTACAGAAACAAGCGGCTCCTGACTGTGGGAGCAATTAGCACATCAAAGGGGCACCGTTACCTTGCAGGCAGAAGTCCAGCAGCAAGTACTCGTACGCCGTGTCCGTCTTTGTCTCCACTTGCGGTCTCTTGAGGGTGGAGAAGATTTTCCCAGGACTGCTGTCCTCGGGGTCCGAGAGCTTCCTGAGCCCGCACCCCATGGCCACGTCTGCGGGGCTAAGCGGCCGGGGAGGGGACCAGGAGCCGCGGGTCCCCCTGCTGCAGCCGGGCGAGCAGAGGCACGGACTGGGTGGCCGGGACTTGGCGTCCAGCTACACCGTGGACAGGAGGAAGAGCACGCCGGGGTCCAGAGACAGGGGCTGGGGGCCTTTCCTGTCCATCTTCCTGCCCAGCCTCCGTGCCCATGCTGCACCCAGCAGGGGCTGGGTGGGACCCGGAGCTGCCACCGGTGCCACGTCGTCCCCGGGGCCAATGCCCGGCCCGGGAGCGTCTGGGGAGGACGCGGGGCCGGTCCACGAGTGGGAGCCCGGGCGCCCGTGGACAGCCTGCTCCGTCCTCTCTGTCCTGTGCCCGTGTCCCCTCCTCCCGGCCAATGCGGGACCCAGGAGGGGGAGCGGGAGGGGCGGGGGGAGGCTGAAAAGGAGGGATCCTCGCCCAGCTGGAAACGAAAGTCCCTTCCAAAAAGGTCGCTCCTCCTCCGGAGCTGGTCCCCAAAGAACACAGTAAACAAAACTGCTGCAAGACCGTGTAACTCTTTAAGTTTGAAAATTTCCTTCCACACAGTGTCTGTCTTGTTTTTTTCCTGGAGAAAAATAGATTTTTAATGTAAATCTTATGCTGCCTAAAACCTTCAGGTCTGAGAATTACTTCAGTCTCTGCGTGTGCCGCTTGATTAGGGACACAGAATGTGTCCAGCCAGCAAAGCGCACCGCGGAGTCTCAGACGTGAACCTCGCTAACCTGCTGCTACTTGAAATGGAACCTTCTCTCTCGCCACTGCTGCTTCCCAAAATGGCTAGTTCTTAGCATACGGATCATAAAATGGCCTTTTCTACTCAGAAATAGTAATCAGAGAGGAAGGCCGTGCTTTCAACTGTTCCCTTTCCTGGAGGTGCCAGCCGTCAGACCCAGGGCTAGACCAGATAGGCCCTGAGCTTTTCACAGATAGCAAGTTATTTAACGTTTAAAATCCTTTAGTTTAAAATTCTTTTCTAAGATGAAATAAAATGTTATGACCAGAAAAAAAGAGTTTGATTAATTTTTTTTTGGTCTTTTTGAGACCGGGTCTCCCTATGCAGTTTGGGTTGGACTTGAGCTTGCTTTAATAGCTCAGGCTGGTCTAAACCTTGCAAGGATCCTCCTGCCTCAGCCTCGTGAGTGCTGGGATTATAGGCACGAGCCACTACAACCCGGTTGAGTTTGTTTAATTGCCAAGGAACGGAAAGCACGCAGACGATAAGCTTCTCCAGCACCTTAGTTAAAACACAGTGCTTTTCCAGCTGCCGCAGGCTCCAAAGTACCCTTCCTTAGACAGGCAGAGACACAAACGAACAGAGTCACCCAAATGAGGGAAACCGGCCATCTGACGCCTTTGAGCTCCTAAGTTGCCCTCAGTGGGGGTCAGGCTCAGCTCCCCAAGACTGCAGGGTGTAGTAAGGGGGGCAGGTACTTGCTGGAGTCTTGCATGGTCAGCTCAGAAGCAGTTCAATCCCGTTCCTGGACTGCAGACCTGACTCAGGTGATTCATGGACCCTCCCGTTTCCATGTCCTCTGCTCTGAGGTAGTGACAGTGCTTCTCGTAGGCCCACTCTGAAGGCCAGGCATCTCTGCCTGGACACCAGGGCTGGGGGGGACACAGCACAGCTGGCTGGTGCTTTGGCCTTGCAGGTTATTTTTGGTTTGTTTGTTTTTTCTTTTTCTGAGGCAGACTGGCCTTCAACTTGAGAGCTTCCTGCCTCAGCCTCCCAAGTAGTGGAGATTACAGCCCTGCACCACTGTGGCCAAACGCAGGAGTATTTCACACAGGACAATCCTAGTCCTCGTGTCCCAGAATGAGTGCGGCTGGTGGTGACCAATTTTGGAGAGAACCTGGTCCTCAAGGTAGCAGACCTACCAGGCGGCTCTGATTTCTGAGCTTCAGGCCGTCGGTTCTCGTCCTCTGTTGTGGGTCTCTGGGCTGTGTACTCCTGTGTGGCTCAAGCAGGGCCTGCTCAGGGGACAGTTATTTATTAGTCATTCATCACGCCCTCTCCTTCACTTCTGCTGTGCTCCAGCGCCCAGCCAGAGGCTTGATGAGAACCTTAGAGTTTCAGTGAAATGCAGCAAACTTCAGAGAATGATTCACAACACATGTTATTGTTTTTAAGTTAAAAATTCTTATTTTATTTGCCGGAGTCTGCTGTATATAATGACCCCAGGCCTGCTGGATGTCGGCAGGGACAGGACCATCACCTTGACCTCGTCCTCCCTCTCTGCTTGGCCACCTGCCTTCCTCACCCTCAGCTTCCTCGGACCAGCCTCCTCCTGGGGGAGAAACCCAGCCCTGTTCCGGCTGTCTGACCCAAAGACCTGGAGTGGCCGTGGGGACCTGTGGGACCAGTGTCCAGCTGGTGCTCACAGGCACGGGGATAGGACAGGGTGGCCAAGGGCAGCTGAGAACCAGGCATGGGACAGGAAGGCAGTGCTGAGCCCTGGCTCCTGGAACCTTGGGATCTCACATTGGGGACCCCCAGGTGCTCCTTAGCCAGCAAGAGTGGCCAGTGGGGAGGGAAAGCCCTCAAGAGCCATCCACTTGGCCGGGCAATGCGGTGTATTCTGGACTCCCACTCTCTGGGAGACTGAGGCAGGAGGGTCTCAAGTTCTATCCCAGCCCCTACAACTTAATGACGGAGACTCTGTCTCACAACTAAAACAGATACAAATTTAAAAGACCTAGGGGAATAGCTTGGTGCAAGGGCCTGGGTTCAATCAGTACTAAGAAACACAAGAGGTGCTGGTGGCTGCAGGGATGAACTGTTTTATCTTCGATAAAAGGAGCCGAGGTCTCTCCAGTCCACAGTTTAATAATCACTGGAGTGATTTTCTTTCCTAAATTTAAACATGATAAAAGCTCGCCTGACCTCAGGTGTATTCCAAAACCACACTGTCTCTCAGTGGGACAAGCTTCTGCTTAGCTGCTGCTGCTGGTTCTCCTCTGCAAGGAGGAAACATTGCACCTGCATTGATTATGTGTACTAGCTAGCTAGCTTGCTCTCTCTCTCATTTGGGTTTTTGAGACAGAATCTCTATGTAGAACTGGCAGCGATCTTCCTGCCTCAGCCTCCTGAGTGCTGGGGTTACAGGCGTGAGCCACCGTGTCTTACCAGATTTTTGCGTGTTATTTTTCTCTGAATGACACAATACACAAGCTATTTACACAGCTCTTATCAGTGATAAGAGCCTGCAGTGGCGGGGAGGGCTCCGCAGGTCGTGTCCAAGCCCTGCACTGGGACGTGCGTGGGCCTGAGCACCCCTGAATTCCGGCATCTGCGGGTCCTGAAGCTGCCCCCTGCCCCTAGGGTCCACATGCTGGGTATTCCCTTGCATTCAAGCAACACTTAACAAGAACACTTTGGTTATTTTCACGCTTTTACTATGAGATTGTTGTAAAGATTGCCCTCTGTTCCCCGCTTGGGGTTATCTCCTACATGCTTGGGTTCTACGCTAAATGGTCAGAGAGCTTACACACAGGGAATCCACTGGTCAGTGATGAGCGGGGAAAATGCATCTCATCTCTTACTGGGCCACGTCTGCTGCTGTAGTGAATGCAAGGCTCGTGGGGAGCTGATGCAGGCACCCCACGACCCAGACCTTGCTGAGAAAATGCATCCCAGCGATAGCTCCTCCCCCAGCAGGTGTCTGAAGGGCTAAGCCCGCATAGTTTGGGATGGTGTTGGCTGTTTCCCATCTTACTGTGTAGTTTTTTTTTTTTTTTTTTTTTTGCCTTGTCGAGACCCTGTGTCTCAAAAAGCACAGTTCAGGCTGCCTTGAGCTCACTTTATAGCCCAGGTTGGTCTTAAACTCACAACAGTCCTCCTGCCTCAGCTTCCTGAGAATTATTGCATACTTCTTAATGCCCATATATTTTTTATTAAGTTTACTGGTACATTTAGATGCACATAATCAGCACGTTAATCATTGGGAATTTGTACCTGTACACGACATAACTTGATCTTTTACGCTACTTTCCTCCCCTCCTGTCCACCCTTCTTCCTTTCCTTATTTACAAAAGCTTTGTGTTGCTGAGCCAAAATCCCCCACAGTCCACGTTAAGAGAGCAGAGGCGTGTTTGGCTCCGAGTGTGCAGAGGTTTCAGCCCACAGCTCCGAGGCTGGGTGCGTGGAGAGGGAGGACGGCCCCTCTCCCCTTACCTTGTTGGCATAGCCTCACACCCGCGATCGCAGCACTGAACCAGGAGTCGGTCACAACCTCCGCACTCGGCCACCCCGAGGATTCCGCCCTCCCGGTGACGGCACTCAGCTCTGGGCCTCCAGACACAGCGCGGGCACTGTCCCGCCTTCCCGTCTTCTCATTTGCCTTTCTTTTCCCTTTTTCCCCTTACCCTTCCTCCTCCCTAGTTCCTCTTCTCATTTGAATATTTTCCTCCTATTTTGCAACATACATTTTGGTCCTTATTTACAGCTTTGGTTTCTCACACCAGAGACAGTGTGGTGTTTACACGTGTGTGTCTGACCTACTTCACTGAAGAGTGTGGTCTCAAGGTGCATCCATTTAGCTAGAAATGCATGTCCTTCTTTATGGCTGAGTAGTACTCCACAGCAAGGACCGCCCCCCTTCTTTACCCATCACCACAATGCCCACATATTCTTATACAAACACTTTCAGTCAAAGATTTTTCAGTCTTCATTTTGTCTCCAGTAAGAGTTCGCATTTCGGGGCTGGTGGTTTGGCTTAGCAGTGTAAGTGCCTGCCTCGCAAGGGTGAGGTTGTGAATTTGATCCCCAGCACCAAAAAAAAAAAGCAAAAAACCTAAAAAAACCTCTTGCTGGTATTCAAATCATAATTTAGGGGCTGGGGATTTAGCTCAGCAGCATGAATTCCCTCTTGGCAAGTGTAAGGTCATGAGTTTGATCCCCGGTACCAAAAAAAAAAAAAAAAAAAAAAAAAGAATTTAATACGTTAGAGCTGGGTGTGATGTGATGCACTCCTATAATCCTAGCACTTGGGAGGCTGAGGCAGGAGGGTCATTGTAAGTTCAAGACCAATCTGGGCTACAAAGTGAGCCCAAGGCCAGCCTGAACTGCATAGTGAAACCCTGTCTCAAAAAGACAGAAAAAAAAAAAAAAAAGAAAAGTGCTTGCATTTTTTCAACAGTGTATCTTTCCATTTGGAACAAATGCTGTGTTTTCTGCTTTTTAAAAACCTTATTGAGAGGCACAGCCTTGTTCCGCTTCTCGGGCTGGCTTTGCTCTCCTGGCCTCAGGGGACCCTCCTCTGTCTCAGTAGCTGAGCTTTGCCCGAGCTGCTCAGCTTTGTTTCTTCCCTTAGTTTAAAGAAATTAGTAAGCTTTACGGTTGTGGAGCAGTTTTGTGCTCCCAGGGAAGTGGAGCAGGAGCACAGAGATGTTATCAGCTGGTGACCCCAGCCTCACCCAAGCGTCCACCTGGAACCCGGAGCCGCAGTTAGCTCAGCCCGTGGGGTGCAGCACGGCTTCCCCACTCAGATCCTCTGCGACCAGCCTGTGTGACCTCGGCAGCTGCAGTCGGAAAGGTCAGACAGGAATCCCGGGGGTTTCCCACTGGGGATCATGACCATGGGGGAGCTGTCACCAGCACTGCTTACCGAGAAAGTGCTTCTCTGCCTTGGGATTGGAAATGCTATATCCTTGGTTATGGTTTAAATGAAGTTTGCCACAAAGAGAGGCATACATCGGGGGTGCATACGCCGTTCCCACCAACAGGTCGACCCCTGAGGAGCTTGTGGCCCGTGGGCCGTTAGGAGGTTTGCTCCCGCTCCTGTGGGGCAAGAAGGTCGCTGGGGTGCCTTGGAGGGTGGCGCCTTTCTCCATGTCTTCCTCCCTTTCTCTGGGCTTCCTGGCTGCCAGCAGTCTCCTCTGCCCTGGAGTCAGCAGACCACGGACCAAGACGTCTGGAGCCGAGAGCCAAAAGGAACCTTTAAGCCTCTGAACTGCCATCTCAGCAGCAGAAGTGACTAATACACTCTTCATGCCCTTAACAGTCACATGAGTTACCCTTGGCCTGCTTTCCTCTGGTGGCCTGGCTTCACAGCAGTACACACTGAAACATCTTTATGGCTTTGTAAGTTTCCAGCGTCTCCTCACTTACTGGTCTTTTTTTTCTTTTTGGGCGTGGGAGATCGGACCCAGGGCCTGTGGTGCTCCGCCTGGCTCTCCTCTGAGCTGACCCAGCTCAGTAGCCTCTTTATTCTTCTAGGTCAGCAGCTCTGAGCTGTGTGTGGCACGGCCCTCTAGCTCTAAAGCAGTGTGAACTCTGGGGAGAGAGAGGAGCTCTGGTCTCCGAGGGGGCCAGGCAGGCAGGGCTCTGGGGACCCCCACCTCTCTCCTAGCAGGTGACTTAGCTGTTATTGGTTCCGTACAACAGAAACAAACCCACGATCTTCAGAAAATGATGCCATTTACAACACTGTAAATGAACTTCTGTACGTGGTTTCCAGTAGTAAACTTAGGGAACTATTATGCCAGACTGATGTGTAGAAAGTTATAAACTTTACTGAACAACACCCAATGAGATCCAGGGAAGTGGAAGGACGTTCGTAGCTGCTTCGGAACAGCCAGCACGGTGGGCGCACCACCCTGCTGGCCCTCGGTTCTGGCACAGCTGTGGGTTTAATCCGATAGTGACCAACAAGCCTTTCACCTGGAACCTGTCGGGTTGGTGTTAATGGTTTTATGTAGCAGATGGAGGGCTAAGAGAGATGATTTCTCTGTGTACTGAGTGTAAAGCTGTAGGAATCAAGGTTTTTAGCAAAGTGCAAATAGGCCGGCGTAGCAGACTAGAGAGCGCAGCAGCGGACGTGGTGTGCGGTGGTTCACCGCGTCGTGCAGGGGGAAGGGGAACTGGACAGCTGCTTGGTCACTCGGGGAAAACCAGATCCCGACCTGACACAGAAAAAGTCAGTTCTAGGGCTGGGCTGGATCAGCGCACAGAGAGAGCTTCCCTAGCTTGGGTAACACCCTGGTTTCATTTCTGTTCTCAGAAATGAAAGAATGTTTTTAAGACAAAAATGACAATCTTAAATGATGATAAATTCTACTGCACTAAAGTTAAAATCTACTTATTAAGATTTCTGAAAGTGGAGCCAGGTGGGGTGGTGCCTGCTTGTAATCCCAGCACTCTGGAAGGCTGAAGCAGGAGGGCGATTACAAGTTCAAATCCAGCCTGGGAATCTTAGTGGGATGTTGGAGACCACTACGCGGCAGCTCTGAGCAGGATTTAAATTTACTAACTGGCTTCTATGTTTAACTGTGAGTCTGTCCTAGGCTTAGGCCCCTCGCCTGGCTGCGGGAGCAGATTCATAGTAAGTGAACCTCTATGTCCTTGCTGGGGCCTGTAGTGGCCTGTGAGGCCAGAGATACCTCAAAGGGCAAGATAAGGCCACAGCTGTGGACACTCTGGCTCCAACCCCAATTAACTAGGGAGAGATTGCAGCTATAACAATTACTCCTACAGTCTCACTTCTACCATGTCTTCGTGATAAGACAGTGCTACTGAATTGACTTGATTCATGACTTGGGAGACGTCCTGGAAGTGACTCCCAAGGTCCTGCTCATTGCCTGCGCTTTCCTCAGTTTCTCTGCCCTTTGTCCTTGGTCCTTATGTAGTGGACTGACCCAGAAAATCCTTTGTCTTTACCCTCAAAGCTTCAAGCTTAATTAAAGGGTTTTGAGCCTCCCAGAGCCCTAAAAATCATACAATTTGTCTCTTTTTATTTAACCTCCACCGTACACTTGTTTTGGAGATCAGGGATCTAGGACAAACCTGATAGTGTGGGATGCTGTCTCAAAATAAAAATTTAAAAGGGCTGGAGATATAACTCATTGCAAAGGCCCTGGGTTCAATCCTACCCCGTCCAATTCTACCTCTGAGGCTTTTGGGGAACATTGTATATCCAAGGCATAAAACATATGTACAGTTCACTGATACAGGAAGAGATGCCCAATTTTACTCATACTTAGAGGAGTGCAAATCAAGACAATAGTGAAATACCATTTTTAAAGAACTGTGGCAAAATATAAAAAATATAAAATTTCCCAGTTGAGGTATTTTAGAGTACAATTTAGTGAGATTAGGTACATTCCCTATGTTGCACAATAATCATCATCACTTAGGTCCAGAATCTTTTTGTTACTTAAAGAAGGAGCTCCAGACCCATCAAGCATTCACCCTCCATTCCCTGGTGTCTGGCTTCTTCTATTTAACGTAACATTTTATGTACGCATATGGTAGCATTCTGTTCCATAAGGCTTTCAGCTTGCAGGGAGTGTTACGTACCTGGCCTCTCACATCTTAGCTACCCTTTCCCTGCCCTTCTCAAGCTGCCCCACCAAGCAGAGCCCATCCACTAAACACACTCGGTGGATGTTTGTTTTCCATGTGCCTTCTGTGCCAATTGGCCCATCTGTGTCACCACAGAGTCATTTGCCTTCGTCATACACTACACAGCAGCCAAAATGAGAGCATGGTTACCCACGACAGAATGATGACCTTGGTCACAAAATGTTGAACGAAGAAGGATAACTTGAAGGAGAAACAAAGTGTCACACCCTTTTTGAGAAGGTTCAAATACAGGTGAAAGTAAGCAACATGTTACTGGGATGGAGCAGGAGCAGGGGACTGAGGATGCACAAGTCCTCAGGTCCACAAACTTCAGGTCGGCGATCACCTCTGAGAGAAGACAGATGGAAAAACCAGCCCACACAACGGAATCCCTGCTAATTGCTCTGTTCAGTGGTCCTTATACTTCATTGTGATCAGAATCACTTGGAGAGCTGCTTAGAGCCTACATTCTGGGGCCAATCTCAGATTTCTGTCTCAGTAGGTGACACACGGGATCTAAGAATGTGTGTACTGTTCTGGGCACCACACTTTGAAAACGTCTATTTGCACTAGGACTGTTGTGGATTCACAAGGGCTCCACCCCATTATATCTGCATTGATTTTTCTTTTTTTTTTGGGGGGGGGAGGTCAACTGTAGATCAAAGATGAGAGTGAGATATGAGCCAGGGATTATTAGTAATCCAGTTCTAAGCTCCTGGGTTCTCTCCCTGAAAGTCAGACTTCTGCTCTGAAAGAAAACTTAAAAATAACAGTTTTGGAAGAATTTCAAGACCATTTAAAAAAGAAAAAGAACGTGATTGCAGAGTGTTGTGGTGCACATCTGAATTCCAGCATTGTGGAAGACTGATGCAGGAGGATTACAAATTACAACTCACAACTCAGCCTAGGCAATTTGGCGATTTAGTAGGAACTCAATTTAAAAAAACGTATATATTAACAGTTGCTTTTTTTTGGTTCGGTGGTATTGCGATCAAATTCAGGGCCTCTGCACTAAGACACACCCCAGTTGTTTACACAATTTTTTTTTCTGAGATATGCTAATTCACTAAATCGCCCAGGCTGGGCTAGAATTTGTGACACTTCTGCCTCAGCTTTACAGAGTGCTGGGATTACTTGTGTGTGTTACTACTGCTGGTTTAACAACTGCTTTTAAGAGATGTCTAACAAAAAATAATTCTCCCTTTGTGCATCTCCCTGAATATCATTAACCTTTAGGAAGGGCTTGGCAGATCACAAATCTACTTTTGTGGATTCAGCACAAATTGTATTCAGATAAAACATCCTTCCCACTTTGGTTCTCAGCCTTCCCTTAAGTGGTCTAGGTAATTATCTTTCTTCCTCCCCACCTGATCTGGTTGAGATAACACAGAGGACCAATGTAGAGGTCACATTCTACAGTCTGTAGTGTGCCGTCCACCCACGGAATTCTGCGACCTGGTTATCATCGCACACAAGCAGCTGGTACCCACAAGCAGCTGAACGCAGAAGAAACGCCCTCAGCCACAGCCACAACTCCAGGGCGGAAGTTTGTCTTGCCAGAGCCTCCTAGCTTCCCCTAGTGCGGCCCCTGGGACTTCCGCCAGCAGCATTCCCGCGGCCGGAAGCAGCGAAGGAAAGTGCCGGAAGTCACCGCCCAGCAGGATGCCATTGGCTGTCTGCCGGAAGCTGGGCGTGCCGGAAGCTGGGCGTGCCGGGAGCTGGGCGTGCCCCCTGCGCATGCGCTGTTCCCACGTGCTTCCGAGACGCCATGGACCTCTGCTGAGACCGGTGAGCACCATGCTGCGAATCTCTGTCTTTCAGGCTCTGAGGCTCCTGGCGGCCTCTAGGGTCCCTCTTTTGGGGGGCCCCGGCGCGCGCTGTTACGGCTCGGGTGGCCCGACTGTCGGCAGCAACGCGGCCCACCCGCACGACTTCTTCACCACGCCTATCTTCTATGTGAACGCGGCGCCGCACATCGGGCACCTGTACTCGGCGCTGCTCGGCGACGCCCTGTGTCGCCACCGCAGCCTTCGGGCTCCCAGCGGAGCCGCCGCGCGCCTGTCCACCGGCACTGATGAGCACGGCCTGAAGATCCAGCAGGCGGCGGCCGCCGCGGGCCTGGCCCCGCGCGTGCTGTGCGACCGCGTCTCCGCGCAGTTCCGCCGGCTGTTCCGGGACGCGGGCGTCGCCGCCACCGACTTCTTCCGCACCACCGAGGCGCGGCACCAGGAGGCCGTGCAACACTTCTGGGAGGTGCTGGCGGCCCGGGGTCTGCTTTACAAAGGGCTCTACGAAGGCTGGTACTGCTCCTCCGACGAGTGCTTCCTGCCCGAAGCCAAGGTCACCCGACAGCCGGGCCCTTCAGGGGAGTCGTGTCCTGTGTCCCTCGAGAGCGGGCACCCCGTCTCCTGGACTGAGGAGGAAAACTACATTTTCAGGCTGTCCCAGTTCCGAGAACCTGTCCAGCGGTGGCTACGAAGCAACCCGCGGGCCATTGTCCCCGAGCCTTTCCATCGTTTGGTCTTGCAGTGGCTGGAGGAGGAGCTGCCTGACCTCTCAGTGTCTCGCAGGAGCAGCCACCTGCACTGGGGCATTCCTGTCCCTGGAGACGATTCGCAGACCATTTACGTGTGGTTGGACGCGCTGGTCAGCTACCTCACTGTCATTGGCTACCCGAACGCAGAGTTCAGATCTTGGTGGCCGGCATCCCAAGTCATAGGTAAGGACATTCTCAAGTTCCATGCCATCTATTGGCCTGCCCTCCTCCTTGGAGCTGGATTGAACCCTCCACGTCGCATCTACGTCCACTCCCACTGGACAGTGTGTGGCCAGAAGATGTCCAAGAGCTTGGGCAACGTGGTGGATCCTGTGGCCTGTCTGGATCGCTATACTGTGGATGGCTTCCGCTACTTTCTCCTCCGGCAGGGCGTTCCCAACTGGGACTGTGACTACAACGACGAGAAGGTGGTTAAGCTGCTGGACTCCGAGCTGGCGGATGCGCTGGGGGGCCTTCTGAACCGGTGCACCGCCGGCAGAATCAATCCCTCTGGCACCTACCCGGCTTTCTGCACTGCCTGCTTCCCGACTGAGCCAGGGTCGCAGGGGCCGGCAGTTCGCGCGCAGGCAGAGGACTATGCTCTTTTGAATGCAGTGGCTGCTTTGCCTGAGCAAGTGGCCAACTACTATGATAACTTTCAAATCTATAAAGCCCTGGAGGCGGTGTCCAGCTGTGTTCGGCAGACCAACGGTTTTGTCCAAAGGCATGCTCCGTGGAAGTTGAGTTGGGAGAGCCCAAGGGACGCTCCTTGGTTGGGGACAGTACTTCATGTGGCCTTCGAGTGTTTGCGAGTCTTTGGCACTTTGCTTCAGCCGGTTACCCCAAGCCTAGCTGATAAACTGCTGTCCAGGCTGGGGGTGTCTGCCGCAGAGAGGGGCCTTCAGCAGCTCTTTTTCCTCCCTCGGTTCTATGGACGACAGTGCCCTTTTGAAGGGAGGCGGCTGGGTCCTGAAACTGGGCTTTTGTTTCCAAGGCTGGACCAGTCCAGGGTTCGGATGGTGAAAGCTCAGGGGACATAGAGACTCAGTTCTTCCTGGTTTGTGGTAAAATTCAAATGTTTTTCCTTTTAGGAAAGTTTTACTCGTGTTTTCTAAAGTGTTGCATCAGATGAGCACACAAGCTGTGTGTTTCCCTGTGACAGGGCCTCCAAGCACCTGCCCTGGTTCATTTCTCTTTGGCCATTAACAACTGGCTTTGTCCCACAAGTCTGCAGGAAAGATGGGTAAGAGATGGGGGTGCTGATACTGTTCCTCTCATTGTACCCTTTTCCAGCCAGCGATTTGTGCAGTCTACCTCGTAGGGTGTCCGCTTGTCAGGCTAATTAGTACAGTGACATCCTTGTGAGTAGGGTTTGGAGGTCCCCAGCCCTAGCTTCTGCCTACTTTGGTAGATGGTTAACCCTACTTTGTTATGTGTAACTGGGTCTCCTGTTAAAAAGGAATTCTTTTACTTAAACTTGAAAACCTTGTGTCCTAGACGAGATGAGTTTTGCTTACGTTCATCCCTATTTAAATTCCTGCAGCCAGGACACTCTTAGTCCAACAGTCCTGGTCTAACTAGTAGGTGGCTGTGGTCGCACACAGTTAAGATTGAGGTTTCAGAATATTTAAAATAAATTAGTTTCTGCTTCTTCACCTCTTGGGTCTTTCACTTATTTTAAGGGGTAACTGCAACCACTGTTGTTTTAACAGAAAGCAATAAAGTAGAATTTTCAGTTTCTTAAAGACTACTGAAAAATGACACTTGCTACTATGCTAGTGTTTCACATTGTTTATGTGATAAACTATGAAACTTGAGGCACTTGATGTTAAAAATTTCCAACTTTAATAACAAGTATGACTAATTTGTAGACTTCAAAAGAGCAATACTCTATTTGTTCTTAATTTTGTTATTCACACACATAATTTACCTCATGATTCCTTTTGGTCAATTGAGATGTCATGTAGAAATTGTGTAATAGTTGCTGAAAATATTAATACTTGAATTCAAGTTTTTTCTGATTGTTTTGCTCTTTTAATTTATTAAAGTTTAAAGGTTCTGAGTGCCTTTTTTAGATCTGTTCTGGAGAATTTGTTGAGGTGAGGGTGGAGGGAAGAACTGATCAGTGCTCCAGGAGTCTCCGACTGAACTTGGAGATCTCTCCACGGCTCCCCAGGAGAACCTCCCAGAGGAGATTTTTAAGTTATTAGTTTATACAATGGCTCAACCTAGGAAACCAGAATGATGTAGGTGACTGTAGCTGTGAGGAATCAAATGCAACTTCCCTCAGAAAATCAGAAGTGTGGTAGCAGGCAAAAAGTGTGTTAGCAGTTCCCCTGGAATCAGCAAGGCAAAGGGATTCCTAGTTGCTGGGAAAATAATGCCTAGAGGCATTCTGACGTAGAAGGACCATTTCTGAAAACTGGTCCTCTGGGCTGGCTGGCACCCTGTTGGTTACTGGGGGCTTTCATATGACGCACGGTGTTACAGGGATGGGCAAAGCAGGAAGCGTCTCCCAGGGCTGGAAGGAGCAGAGGCTGGTGAAGATGGCAAGTGTGAATACAAAGGAAGGGACACATTTGGACAAGTAGTGAGGCCATGACCTCTGTGTCCTTACAGCTGCAAGACAGTTCCTGCCAGGGCTGGAGACACAGTGTCTTTCCCTTGAAACTTTCTGTGGCTTGCAGTGGTCATGCACAGGTGCGTGGCTTGCTGATGGATGTGAGTGGAGTTCGTTTTGTGCAGCCTGTCACAGGTGCAGGACTTAGCTGGCCTCTTGGATGTGTGGTTAAGGTACTCAGAAACACCCAAAACAGACAGCGCAGTTATCCCAGAAGACGGGATGCTCTGAGCAGAGCCATTGTCGAATCTGGTTGTGATCATCAGTTGGTTGTAAACACGCTGCTCTGGACCAGCTGGACACATTGGACCTGACTTTGTGGTGCTATGAACAGTGACCCAGGTTCTCTGGAGTGCCAAAGCACAGCATGGAAAACAAATATTTTTTTAAAAAAACTTGTTTTATAAAATGCTAATGCTAGAGTTATTCAAGCTTGACAGCTGAGATCATCCTTCCTGTGTTGGGGATGGGAGCAGGGGGCCTTGTGCTGGACAGGTGCTCTACCACTGAGCCATATCGCCAGCCCAGCAGCAAGGTTTCCCTAAAGTTAAAAGGGCCTAAAAAACACATCTTTGGTCCCTTGGATCATTAATCCACACTTTTCCATCACATTTTCTGACCTTTTTTCTCCAAGGCTTAGAACTGTGGGGATAGTCATTGGTGTAGCCTCTGCTTTTAGGTATCTGGGGCCACATTCTCAAGCCAGCAATTTTAGAGGAACAGTCTAAAGAACAAATGAATGATGCGTGTTATCTACATTCCGGACATGAGGTTAGAAATCTGCTTGGCAGCGTTAGGAAGTTTTCCACTTGGTTCCAAACTTGGAGAAATACATTTTGGAAGATGAATTGGCTGTCTATGGTGGTTCTGTTTATAGCCTCCTATTCCTTGAGCCCCTTGACTGGAGCTTTTCAGTTACATTTAATTATATGTATGGAGGTTGTAACTTCTTGATAACAAGAGACTGATAATCCTAAAAAATGCCCTCTGCAGTATACAGTGGATCCTTGACTTGGAAACTCAATGCATTTCTGTGGGCTGGCCATAACTCCTGTTGGGGATTAAAGTCTCCTGTACACAGGCAGACCTTAATGTCCATTCAAACACTGGTCCAGAATTTCTCACTCCACACAGGAAAGGAGGTTGTAATGTTCCTTCCAGACCTCTTTAAGGGTTAAACCTGGATCTGAGACCATCTGGATGGACAGGCAGCCTGCATTGAGCTCATAGCTCAAGTCTCTCAGTCGTAAGCTAAAACAAATCCTGGTCATAACCCAAGTTGTTCGTATGTTAGGCAGGATGTAACTCAATGGTCCACTGTATTTTAGAATAGCTTTAAAAGTCACCTAGGAATTTTAAAGGGTCTTTGGTTACATTTTTCTTATTACTGAGATAAAATACCTGACACCCAACATTAAGAAGGAAAGGTTTATTTAGCTCACAGTTTGTGGAGGTTTCTGTTCATAATCGCTAGCTCCCAGGCAGGATGGCATGGCACAAAGGCAACTAACTGTTTATGACGGTGGCAGATACGAAAAGCGGCAAGAACAAAAAGGCAAAAGAGGGAAGCACGCCTCTTGCCCTCATATGTATGCCAGCTCCCTGCCCCAGGTGGGTACAGCACTCACACTAGACAACAAACCAATCACAGAAGCTAGATTCAGCCATCTTTGAAAGGCTTACTGCCCATGACCGTATGAGGCTTTGGGGAGACATTTAGACAGAAGCCATAACTGCCTTTGAAGTAAAGAATTTAATAAATTGGATTAAGTTGCTATAAAACTTAGCAGAAACTCTATGTAGGTTATATAAGAAGCAGAACTTGTAGCACTGAGCTTTTTTTGTCAGTGCTGGGCATTGAACCTAGGGCCTTGTGTTAGGTAATTGCTGTACCACTGAGTTACATCCCCAGCCCAGGTTTTACTTCATTCCTAGAATGCAGTTAAGTAAAATTATAATGCATAAGAATCCTATTTTAATACTATAGAAGAAAACTACTGACATAAAGTTCAGTGTTAAAAGTATGTATGAGTAACATGAAAGCTGACAGCTGGGTTTTCTTTTTTTTGTTTTGTCTTTTTCCTTTTTATCGGTACTGGGGATCGAACTCACAACTACCTGCTTTCAAGGCAGGCGCTTATGCCACTGAGCAACAGCTGGATTTTCATGCCAGTCGTAAGTATTGGAAGGAGTACTTTTTTGCTTGGCTGTGAAGTACTTTTAACATTCATTATAACATTGTATGACCTAGCTGGGCATGGTGGCACATGCCTATAGTCTCAACACTTGAGAGACTGAGGTAGGAGGATCCCTAGGAGTTTGAAGCCAGCCTGTGCTACTTGTTGAGTTCAAGGCCATTGTGTACTACATAGTAAGACCCTGTCTCAAAAACAAGTAACATTGTATTACCTAGTATAAAAAAGTGATTAATCCTCAAAGTCCAGGATATATTTTTTAATCAAGGAATTTGTCTTGATGTAGATTGGTTCTTTGTTATAGGTTTTAAGTCTACATAAGTGTATAAAATATGATTTAATTCAGTACTTTCAGTGTTCTGGCTAAGATTTAATTCCCTTTAAAAAATAAAATATGTAACTGAACATTCCAAGTCTGTGGGCCAACTATTTCCTATGGCTGGGTAAAATAGTTATCCAAGATTCTAATCAGCAGAGGAAGGTACAATAAGAATTGAATCCTCACAGGCTGGGTGTGGTGATGTATACCTATAGTCCTAGCATTTGGGAGGCTGAGGCAGGGGGATCTTCATGAATTTTTGAGGCCAGCCTGGGCTACAAAAGTGCATTCAAGGCCAGCCTGCACTAGGGAGTTATAGTGCAGTTAACAAACAAAAAAACCAAAACCAAAAATACACTGCTGTGAAATCTTTTTTAGGTGCTAGAATACTGAGGTTTCAAACCTATAAATGAAAGTTGAGAAAAGCTCACAGACTGTAACCTGGGTTCCTGTTAAAAGATTTAAAGAAAGTTAAGGTTTAATGTATTTTAAATGGTTTTAATTTTATAATTATTTAAGGGAAAGATTTAAAAACAAAAAGATTCTTAAGTGGGCCTGGATTCAAAGGGGAAAAGATGTGTTAGCAAGTGATCACGATATAAACAGCAGGTTACTTTGGGACTTGTTACTGGATAGGAAGGCATCCTAAGCCTATAAAAGAGGCCCATTAGGGGGGCTGAGAAAAGCCATATTCAATGATAGCCTTCTGAATTACCAGTTTTGCTGTTTTTATCTTATCCCTACTCTGACAAAAGATAGAAGTTACATAGTATCAAATGTAACATCAGAATCCAGTCCTATTGGTAGGAAAGCAACTATTGAGACAGAATCCGGGAACTGTGAGTGTGCCGCACCACAAACTATGAGTGATCCTGTACCCTGCTACGATTTCAGAGGGGCTGGGGATTTAGCTCAGTGGCCTAAGTGCCTGCCGGCAAGCGTGAGGTTGTGAATTGGATCCCCGGTACCAAAACACAAAACAAAACAGTGATACTGTACGTTGCTGCGGAGTACAGCATCCAGGGACGCTGCTGCAGCCCGGGTTTCCACTCACCTGCTGGTGAACACTAGCACTGCAGGATGCACCCCTGGTGGCGCCTGGTGGCCCTCCCACGCCCACTTCACCGGGTCACTGGGAGCTCCTGAGCTTTCCCCTGAAGTCTCATCCCTTGTTCTGCTTACTTTAAATGATTTGAGTGAATACTGTGATTCAAGAAGACTGAAAGTATCAAGAAGGCACAGTGTGTCCTAATGCTGAATTATTTTGAAACTGGGTATAGACGTTTTTATTAGTTCTTTTAAACTCTTAAGAAGTTAAGAGTTAAGAAAAATGAACTACGGTGTCTTAAGATTAAAAAGCGAAACTTTAGGGGCTGGGGATTTAGCTCAGCGGCATAAGCGCCTGCCTTGTAAGCAGGCGGTCGTGAGTTCGATCCCTGGTACTGATAAAAAGAAAAAGACAAAAAAAAAAAAAAAAAAAGCGAAACTTTAGAGAAGCCCGCTTGTGATTTCCTTGGTAACGAACAGGCAGTGCTAAAACAGGTCAGTGTCAAGAGTAAGCCATAAAAACAAAGAGTAATTTTTGAAATGGGTACATCAGATTTAGTTGCTTCTAGAGTTAACAGTGTTTCAAACTTCAATGAACCAGACAGTGTTACTACCACTTCAGGATACTTTGTTAAGTTACAAAAGTCTTCTGTCTCAAAAGGAAACACTATCAGTACTGTAATCATTAAAGACAGTTTATTGAAATCAGTGTTGTGAGAAAATTGTGACAGGTTATATTTAGCCTTAGTCACTTACAATTTTTGAGCTAAGACATAAGTAGACAATTATGATAATGACCACTGTATTTTAGAATTGCATCAATTATACAAAATAAACTGACATTGATATCTATATATCTATATATCTATTTCTTGAATAATCCCTGCCAAAAGTAGCAAATGTTACATAAATTCTATACAAAGATGGATAAATGCCTACATTGTAGCTATGAAGCAAGAATGGAGAACAAATACATTTTTGTTGGACTTTGATTTTGAAAACACATAAATATGCCGTGTTCCCAAGATTAAACAGCACAGGCTATAGACATCTTTTGCTATTGAGGGTATTACAAGTTCCTGAGGTACATGAGAAGCTCTTTTTTCTCACTTTATGTTCCATAGATTTCTCAGAATGCTTGACTTGCTCAGTGGTTTTAAGGAAGAATTTCCGTGGGCAATCTATAAATTTAAATTCTGTATTTCCACAATATGATTAAGGAACTGGCTTATTCTTAGGTTATTGATAAACATGTAATTAAATGTTTTCATGCTTATTATAATGTTTCCTTATTTTAGAACTGAAATATTTTCTGATTCAGACTTCCACTACTTAAGAGATTGGACATTTTTGTTTAGTTACTAAAATGTCTACATTTATTGGTGAACACAAATTATTTTCACAAAGTACTGTTTTTAAACTCTTATCTCTCATCCCACCCCTACTTCCTGAGAGCCTGTGCCTCCTTCCTTACAGGTGATCAGCTGTTAGTGGTAGAGGTTTGATCTATTAGTTACACGTGGGGACTTAGCAGTTGCTTGTTACTTTTTACAAAGCATAACAGCTGTTGGAGCTGCGAAGATCCATTTGCTAAAAGCCGAGCACATGTCTCAAGGACATGTCTCGCCTGAGTGCTCCAGCCCGGACACCTGGCAGTGGTGCACATGGCTTGCTAATGAGGCATGGCACCGTTTTAACGGGCGGTTCTGATTTATGTCCACTTGCTTGCTCTATTTTTATACATGCATGCATGCACACGCATATATGTGTATGATAAAAGTTCTATCAGCCAGGCATTTCTATAAATGGTCTTCATTGTAGATAACCACAGAGCCTACTTTCAGGTGATCCAGACTATATTCAAATGGATGTAACAGAACAAAACAATGGTACAGTGGAGTGTCTGACAATCAAACAGTGTAAGATAATGAGCCTAGAAATTTTTTATTTAAAATGTGTCATGAGTGAAAGCTGATTAAATACCACAGGGCCCAGACAGAGAATATACTTGGCTAACTCTCGGCTGTGACAGACCCAGTCCTCCCAAACACACGCCTATCCAAGAACAGCATGAAATGTCTGAATTTCATCATTAGCTAGGGTTGTAGCTGTGACAGCCTTTAGAGGAAACATGACAGCTCTTTTAAACTAAAAATACACAAAAATTATGTAAACAGTCTTCCTAATTCCACTAGTTTTTAGGGTTTAATCACAAAAAATACTTTTCTGCCTGTCACCTTTCAAATTTATCTCAATATATAATCTATAGAGCAAAATTAACTGAGGATTAAAGGCTATCGTATGAACTCATGTTCAAGCAAACGTGGCTTGGTTCTCTTCCATACTTCCAAAATGCTGCTGCCATTATTAGAAACCATCGTGGACATACTTGAAGGTTTAGCATCAATGGGTTCAGAAATGGAAGCAGCAGCAAGAAGCTGTTCACTCAGAGTGGTATTCTGAAGTCTGAATTAGAAGCATTGAAGCTGAGTGAATTAAGCCAAAATCTCTGCCCATATTGCCTGCGGTTTATCATGTTACCTTATAGTGTGAAATTCTATCAAATGGGATTAAATCTTTTGGGTAACGATATGGTTTTGAATCATTTTTTTAGGGAAGCTGTGCAGGGTAAGATACTTTTTCTCTTGCTTTTGAGAAACTTTCCAAATTAGAATTCTATTTATATAGCTCAATATCAGCATTTTTTTTCCCATAGAGAGACCCTGGGAATTTCAACGCCATTTGTACTATGGTTGGAATTGGGTAAAGCGCTTACAAAATTAAGCATTCCTAATTGCAATTTTTAGCTTAATGCTTTATTTGAAAATGAAAGCAGAAATGGGTATATAGTAAGTATCTTTAAACCCTATCAGTTTTCAACTGAGGTTAACTGAACTTGGTGAATGAGAAAAGTCTAGAGTGATAGGGAGGTGATTACAGAACGTTGAGTGCATGTATGAATCTGAAAAAATGGAACTCGTTAATCTGCATAACTAATATCCACTAACAAAAACGTGCCAAAAAGTTGTTTTTTGAAAAATCGAGAAATCCTATCAAAACTGAAAACAGATCCCTCAGAATGCTAGTAACCAGAAATGAAATCCCGAATGAAGGGGAGGCCTATCTAAATGTCAGCACATTCAGATATTTATATATTTTTTCCAACTGATCCGAACTAGGGGGAGGTATGTAGAGAACAAGCTGAAGAGGAGATAGGCGGGTAGGTAGGAAATGTCCCCAGCTGAAAGAGCCGACTAGTAGGCTCAGGGGTTTATGAAACAGAAGGTAAATACGTAGTTTCATTTCTATTTTGAAACTGCCAATGGGAAAATGCCTTTCCAAGAACCAAAACTCATCAGTGACAAGGATCTAGATGGAATGCCATAAAATTTGTCAGTGTAAGTCATGGGAGAAAATAAATGCTAAGACATTTGGGAAACTTATTTTGAAGCCTGTGTACTTCAGGAAAGAAACTTGACTCTTTTTAACAGAACAAAATAATACAAAAACTACCATCTCCTAAGATTTCCCCCTAGTAGAGATGTTTTATCATCACTATTCCACAAAGAAAGGAATGGAGAGGAACCTAAAAATCCCCTAAATTTTTTCTGGTGAGCCACCAAGTAAAGGAGCTGATCTGGGAAGACTGGTAGAAGAGGACGGAGGGGCTTTGGTCTCTAAGTGTACCCTGCTTTCCAAAGAGAAGAAGCACACCAAAAAGATATTTATGACCAGTAACACCTTTATAGAAATACTAAATGACAGTTATCTATAGGTACACACCTTGATAGAAACGCAAACCTGGGATTGACATACTAGCTTCACTCAGAAAATTATCAACAAAACATCAAATCATCAAGTTCTGGGTTCTGTTCACTAAGAAATACATTATCAATGAGGAAAACAGACAAATCAACAGATGGAAAATCTATAAATTGGATGTTTTTAAAAAAGATGTAAGTATGGTATCACTTACTAGTGATATCTTAAATAAAATGTCTTATCTATTTAGTCTGTTACTGTGCACTTTAATTATAATCAGGTTTGGTATTACATTAATTGATACTATCTTAAGCGGCATGCTTAAAAAGAATGATAAAATTGCAAATCCATAATTTATTAGTTTACTAGTTTGAAGTTTTGTGTACTAAGTAAAAGCTTTTCAAAATTACTGATTGAAGATACACTACAAAATAGAAAAAATAAAATGGGTTACACTTCTTACATGTAAGGAAAAATTTTTTTTCTAAATTTATCTTGTTTGTACTATCAAACCAGGCCATAAAGAAATAGATATTACCCACACATTCAGATTGTCAATAAATCCAGTTTTATGAGCTAAACTCTAAAAGTACACGTGTGAATTATACGTATATATAATGTATATAGAATACACATATAATCTATATATGTGTGCATATACATAATATAAATGTGTGAATGCATATAATCTATGTAACTGTGGAATAAACACACTTCAGTATTAATTATTATCAAAAATCCTTGCCCAATAATACATCACTTTTATTAACACTTCAGGATTTGTTTAGCATCATGTTGAATATCTGAATATCAAAACAATCAACTTTTTTATTTTCAAGGATATTGCTTTTAAAAGATGATCTCTAACATCTGTGGTTAATAATTTTTTTTAACTTACAGAACGAAAACTTGAAATTTCATTGTGGGACTTAGTCTATTTATAGTTCGATAAATGAAAATAATTAATGCACATGAGGTTCTTGTATATGCTAGTATACATCTACAGGTTCCTGCCATTCTCATGAAACCATCTGACTGGCAGATGGGCTCATGGTTTCAAAGGAAAACACCCTATCTGACACATTTGGAAAACCTCTGGGGCCTATGTCCTGTTTCGGCTGCTGCTGCTGAGTAGGGAACACATCTGCAGTTTGAACAGGAGAGGGAAAAGAGATTTATTAAAGTAATGCCAGTGGGGGATTTCCCTCTCTTCTAAAAGTTAGTGGAAGAACTGCAAATGATTAAAAAGGGGTATTTCTGCTACCACAGAAATCTTAGTAATTAAAAGCTCTTATTGGTTTGTTCTGCATCTTCTGAACAACAGTTCTGCCATTTTCCAATTTTATAATGTGGATTGGCTTTAGAATCAGAATCTTTTTCCTTTGGTATAAGAAATAATTTTGCATTTTATAAAAACAATTATATTTTTAACAATCAGTCAGATATGTAATTCAATATACTGGTAAAAAAATAAGGGAAGGCTGAAAGATGAAAGCATTCCAGGCACCCTACTACAGTGGAATGTCAGTTAATGTTATGGGATCGTATCAGAGGAAAGCCCTTTTACTAAAATTCCACGAGGTAGCTCTATATTATATAAAAATAGTACCAAATGTATGATATTGTAGGTTATGTTACTGTTAGCATTAGAGAAAAATTTAATAATAGTCAAAATTAATCACATGAAGAAACAAATATGTTGATCATGTGTGATATTTTTCATATTTGGAAGATATAAAATATAAATACTATCTAAAGTCTAGTAACTGGCAGAAATAAAATTAAGTAGCAATAATGAATAAATAAAAGATTAAACAAAAGCATATTCAATGACAAAATAGCAAACCAGTAACAGTAAATCATTAGGGCTAAATAATATACTCTAAAAGGTACAGAAATATTAAAAATTCTATTAGAGTTGAAATGATTCTTATCCAAAATATTAAAATAAAAAAGAATATGAAACATAGTATTTAAAAGTTAAGAACACAAAGCAGAGAAAATAAAAGACACCTCACTATTCCCAATGTGGTTGTTATTTAGGAATGGATAAAACATGTAAAAAATGTCACTACAGTTAGGTTAACACATAAAAAATCAACATGCCACATCTACCTAAATAATTTTTGTAAAACAGCTGAAAAAGCAAATTTCATAAAATTTGAGACAGCTTACAGTGGAATAAGTATGCTGAGGCATTAACTAATCCTAAATTTCACAATGGGCAGCTTCTAGCCAGTCCCTTGCAGCAGGATCTTGGTCATTCAAGGATCACTGGACAAGAAATCAGTTGAGCTGGATTAGAGCCACCATTCTTAATAATGAATGCTCCACACTGTCTGTTAAGCAAAGAGAAAATACAGATCAAAAAGAGAAAAGGAAAAAACAAAGTAAGAGTAGATAAGCATACAACATTAGTCAACATTTACTAAATATTTGCAGAATGTGGTATAATTAGAGTGCTATGAAGTGGGAGGCTAGCAATTAGGAGGGGCCCAGAATGCAAGAAAGGCTTGTTCTCTGATTTCTGAGAGCTTAAAATCTGTATTACACAATCTCTCATGTCCTAGTGTTAAGTGTTCAGTACATAAAAGCATAAAAGGAAGACTATGCCAGTAGGAACTACAAATGAGTCACAATATTTTCTTCTAGGTGGGTTTAAAAAAAATTTTTTTTTTGTCTTTTTCCTTTTTATCAGTACCGGGGATCAAACTCATGACTGCCTGCTTGCAAGGCAGGCGCTTATGCCGCTGAGCTAAATCCTTTTTAAAAGGGGAATGAAGTTTGGTAAAAGACTATTTAGAAATGTCTAAAACCCCCAAAGTACCCTTTGAGTTGGCCTCAGCGGAGGCATAGGTACTCATGCTGTGTAATCTAGAGGGTTTCCATACACCTATGCCGTCCTGGAACTTTTCTGAAACTATTACTAGTTGGATGCTGACCTGGACATATTGCTCAAGCAAGATCCCATGTAAGGTGTACCCAAACAGAATCATTAAGACAATAATGAACTTGATTTTAAGTTACAATTAAGTAGAGAAGCTACACAGCATCAAGAGGTCAGAAACATCATTGGTAGTGTTTTCATTTTAGAAGAGCTAAATGGGGAAACTAGTGAGGGTTCTGAAAAGAAAGTGTAAGAAACTGTATACACACAACTGTCTGAGGAGGTTGTGACCATTCAGAGGATAATGTTTTAGAATTATGTTAGGAAGCAAATTAAGGCACTGGCATCAAATTCAAACACTGTAAAAATAAAAGTGATAGGGGCTGGGGATTTAGCTCAGTGGTGTAAGCGCCTGCCTGGCAAGCATAAGGTTGTGAGTTCAATCTCCGGCACCCGTCTATACCCCCCAAAATAAAGAAAACTGGAAAACAGCGCAGTGGGCAAAGAGAACTGTGCGTATCAGCAGTTGTTAATGAGGAGGAAATATATTTCTGACAGTAATGCTGAACGTTCAAACTGAATGCAAGGAAAAGGAGCCACATCCTAGGATTAATGAAACTGGAGGACAAGCAAGCTGGCAGAATTGAGTAAAGAGAATCTACAAGATGAGGACCAGCACTAGACCTAGGGACTTAAAGAACCCTTGGGATAAGAAGGTACTGGATCTTGGCAATATTCTTCAATGAGTACAGTTGTCCTACCTTATCTGCAGTGTAATGCCTGGTTTTTTCTTTCCTTTTCCACTGAACTTCATGTCTGTTTTTGTGTCAGCATTATGCTATCTTATCAACGAAGCTCTGTAATGTAACTTCAACTTCAGGACTGTGCTCTGCTCTTTACCTTAGACTGTGCTTGCTATCCTGAATCTCTTTTGATTCTGTATGAAACTTGTGCAGTTCTGTGAAGAACGCTGACGGTATTCTGATTGTGACATTAAATCTGTGCATCAGTTTTGCAAGTATGGCCATTTGAATTACGCTGGTTCTGCCTAACCAGGATTAGGGGATGTCTTTTTCATTTTCTGGTGTTCTCTTTGATGTTTAGTTTTCACTGTAGAGGACTTTCCCTGTAGAGGAGCTAGGTTAATTCCTAAGTATTTAAATTTTTCTTGGTGCTATTGTGAATGACAATTTTACCTAATTTCTCAGTGGATTCATTATTAGTGAACAGAAGTGCTACTGATTTTTGTGTGCTTTGTATCATGCTACATTACTGAATCTGATTATTAATACTAAGAATCTTTGGGTGGATTCTGAATCTTTTATGTGGTGAATAATGCCATCTGCAAATGGTAATTTGACTTCTTTCCTATACTTACTTTTTTCTTGCCTTTAATTGCTCTTGCTAATGTTCAAGTACTATGTTGAGCAGAGGTGACGATAGTGGGAATTTTTCTGTTCTTCCTGACTTTAGAGGGAAATCTTTCAGTTTTTCCCCATTTTGATGTTGGCAATAGGTCTGTCATAAATAGCTTTTATCAGACTGAGATAAGGTCCTTCTATATGTATTTTCATTTTTTTAATCATGAAAAGATGTTGGATATTGTCAAAGAACTTTCCTGCATTAAAAATGATCATGTAGGGGCTGGGGATTTAGCTCAGCGGCATAAGCACCTGCCTTGCAAGCAGGCAGTTGTGAGTTTGATCCCCAGTACCGATAAAAAGGAAAAGGAAAAAAAAAAAAAGAAGATCATGTGACTTTTGTCCTTCCTTCTGTATTATATGGTATATTTATGGATTTGCATGTGTTGAACCATCTTTACATTTCTGGAATGATGTATGATGTTTTTGATAATATGTTGCATTGTTTGCCAGTATCTTGTTGAGGATTTTAATATCTGTATTTATTAATGAAATTGGTCTGTAGTTCACTTTTTTATTGGACCTTTGTCTGGTTTTCAAATTAGAGTTATACTAGCTTTCAGGACTGACCTCAGGAATTTCTTTCAATGTAAGCGAGCTTGAGGAGGTGTTAGATCTTCCCTGATGTTTTTGTAGACTTTAGCAATAAATCCATCCAAATCTGGCCTTTTCTCAGTGTGGGTTTTCTATTACTGTTTCAGTTTCATTGTGTGTTATTGTATTATTGAGGGTTCAGTTTTGGTAATTCATATGTATGTACAAATCTGTTTTTTTTTCTGTATTCTGAAATTTACTGGTGCACAAAGTAGTGCTAATAATCTGACTTTGGCACTGTCATCTGTGATTTCACCTTTTTAATTTCTTATTACTTTGTGTTTTCTCTCCTTTTTTTGGTTAGACTGGCTAAGGGTTTGCCTATTTTGCTTATTCTTTCAAAGAACCAATTCTTTGATTCACTGACCATATATGCTTTTTGTCTCTGTTTCACTGCTTTATGCTCAATCTTTTTTTTTTTTTTTTGTGCCAGGAATAAAACTCAGGATCTTGCACTTGCCAGGTAGGCTCTTCTGCCACTGAACTATATCCCTGGCCATCTGCTCTAATCTCTATCTTTATTAGTTTTGAGTTTGGACTGTTCTTGTTTTTCTAGGACCTTGAGAATTGTTAGGTTATATATTCGAGCTTGCTCTGTTTTGTGACATGGGCATTCATAGCTATAAACTTTCCTCTTAGAACTGCTTTCATTGTCTCTCATAAGTCCTCGTGTGTTGTACTGGCATTATCATTTGGTTCTAGAAATTGTTTTCTTTCTTCTTTGATTTCTTCTGTAACCCACTGTTTATTGAAAGTATACTGTTTAGTTTCCATGCATTTGCATAATTACTGTATTTTGTTGTTAAAATTCTAGTTTCATTGTGCTATATGATGTGATAATATGTACCATACAATTTCAATTCTTTTACGTTTACTTAATTTTGCTTTCTTGGCTATTTTGAACAAAGTCCCATGGGCTGCTGAGAAAAACGTGTACTCTGTTGGGCAGAACCCTCTGTAGAGATCTATTAAGTTCATTTGCTCAAGGACTGTATTCAACTCTGGTACTTTTTGTCTAGTTGACCTATTTGTGACAGTAGGTTACTGTGGGCCCTCCACTATAATTGTGCTTATTTGCTCTTTTAAGCTCAGTAATATTCATTTTATGGAGTTGGTGTACCATTTTTTTGGTAAATACATGTTAACAGTTGTAATCTCTTCCTTTTGGATTGTTCCCTTGACCAATATGTAGTGACCTTCTTTGCCTCTTACAATCAGTTTTGCCTTGAAGTCCACATTTGCTGAATATAGGATAAACTACACTTGCTTTTTTTATAGGTTTCCACTGAATGGAATACTGTTCTTCCATCCTTTGGTTTTAATGTATGAGCTTCTTTGGGGTTGAATGTGTTTCTTCTATATAAAGAACATTGATCCATTCTGCCAGGGATTGTACCTTTCAATTGGGGAATTGAGACCATTCACATTGACAGTTATTCCTGACAGGTAGTGACTTATTCCTCTTACTGCCTTATTTTCCTGTTGCTAGTTCTGTATGTCTCCCTTCTACTTAACTGCTCACCCTACCTGGCAGACCTTCTATGAGACCTTTTGTCATTTTTAGCTTGTCTTTTTTTCCTTTTGGTACTAGGGATTGAACTCAGGACTTCCACTTACCAGGCAGGCGCTGTGCTGCTCAGCTGTATCCCCAGCCCCACTGTCTTTTTCTATGATATCCTTCAGAAGTTTATGGAGTGCTGATTCAGTGCTCATGGATTTATTTAGGTGTTCTTTATCATGAAAATATCTTTTCCATTAATTCTGAAAGGTAGTCTTGTGGGTTATATCAGCCTGAGGTGGAAATTATTTTCTTTTTGGGCTTGAAACACTTCACGTCTATCTCTGCTGGCCTTAAATGTTTGTGTTGAAATGTATCTTATAATTTTATGATGGTAAACTTTTTTTTTGGGTACTGGAGGGTCGAACTCATGACCTTGCACTTGCCAGGCAAGTGCTTATGCTGCTGAGTTAAATCTCCAGCCCCTCTTATAATTGCAATAAGTTTACCTTTATAAGTAATTCATTGCTTTTCTTTAACCACTTTAAAAGATTCTGTTCTTGTGGACTTTTGACAATCATGACATGGAGAAGTTTTTTCTAATTCCGTGCTTCATTTATCTGTATATTAAATTCTTTTTCTTTACTTGGAAAGTTTTTTGCTGTTATTTCAGTAAACAGATTTTTATTCTATTTGTGCTGTCTTCTGATTTTTCACTAACTTCAATTAACCTTAGTTTTCTTTGCATCAGCTAGGAGCTTTTGGATTCATTTTTCATGTTCTCTTGTCACGATGAAGGTTCCTCTCATTAATCATTCATGGACAACAGCTATATCTTACAGTTCTGATACACTTTTATGACATTGTTCACATATGCTGCCCAAACTTTTTGACACAGGTTTTAGTCTCTGAATTTCTACTTGGAGAATTTTTATGGACTTTTAATTCTATTCTATGCTGGTCATTCATGTTTTGCATTGGTTTAGGTCTGCTAGCTTTTTTTAGTGCCTTCTGTAAACTCAGTGATTGTTTTATTTGGCCCAATATCTTATTACTTACATCTTTTGTGAGGCTGCCAAATGCCTTATTGATTTGTTTTGTTATCTCCCTTGATGTTATTTCAAATAATTTGCATTGTATGGCTTTTGGTTTCCCCCTGTGGATCAGTTGGAAGCGTTCTGTTGGCTTGTCTTTTCATGCTTCTACTTTTGTTTTCAGGGTTGCAGGCTGACTGTAGTAGAAAGCTTGGTTTCTAGTATGGAGAGCTCTTTAGTTAATATTTACTTTTTAGTGGTATCCTCTGGTTGTGGCTAACTACTGGCCTTTGCCTCTGTCCCAGGACCAAGCCAACTACATTTACCTGGGATGGGAGTCTGCAATATATTTGACATGGTACTTAGTTCTACAGGAATGGACTACAGTACTGCTGATGACTCCAAGGCAAACCAGATGCTGGCATCTACAGAAAATCAATTAATAGCAACAGCTATGTCATCTTTCTGATAAAATCAGCATTGATTATAGCATCAAGCACAGACTGAGTACCTTAAGGGTGGTATATTATTGGTCCTTAAGTTTGTAAGTACTCAGTTTGTGTTTGATGCTATAACTGACAGTATACAATATAGAAAAGGGATCTTTTTTCTATACTCTTAAACTGGAACAATTAAAATTATAAGTTAAGAATGCTCAACATTCTCCTCATCTATACTACCTACCATTCTATTCTCTTACTTGTATTTTTCAATGAGTATATTTTCATTTATTTGTGATTCTCTTTCTTACTAAAAATACTCCGTAGCCATTTATTACACCATAGCAACATCACCTATCTCTACAGATATGTATTTGGAGAAAATGTTAACAGCAGAGGAACACTTAAAAAATTTTTGTAACAATGCTCAAATATGAAGTCTCTACAAATAAGGTTTAACAAAAATCTGGACTGATATGAGTCCAAAAGCACAGTTTTAATTTGTGTTTACACTGTGGTGGTGGAGAATAAAGAGATGCAGTGTGTGGACTGGGTGTGGGCACAGTCACAACAGTAAGTGTGGACTGGGTGAGGGGAGGCTCAGTGTGGACTATCTTGGTTCTACACATATGAGTTCTACACATATGACGGGTCAGAAGTACGAATATCAGCAAGAAACAGCTCATCTCTGTCATTTTGTTGCAAAAAGTATGCCTCCTTGCCTTGTCAAACTACAATGCATGTGAAAATTATGTTACCATCTCAATAGTTAATCTCAAGTTTTTTGTAGGTAGTCTGTATCCCAAAAGTGATGATACAAAGATTTCACTAAGAAACTTAATAAAGGGATAAGAGGTACCTTGTTATACTGTAACAGCCAAATTATATATACACACAGACCTAAGTACAGTAGTTCACCATTCTTTGACCTAAATCTGATTTAGGGAGCCTGGACACATTCGTAATTAGAAAGAGCAACTCATTACCTGTTTTCATCTCCCCATAAATGTGACATCAACAAAGACAGTCAGAATCTGAGCATATAAAATATGTATGTAGAATAGAAAAATTCAGAGAGACTGGAAGCAGACTAAAGGTAATTAAGGACTAGGGGGATGATGAAAAGATGATTTACAGCTTAATGAAAACAGTTTTTGTTTAGGTGATGGAAAAAATTTGGAAGTGGTGATTATCTGTACACTCATTGTGAGTGTAATTAATGCCAATGAATTGTATACTCAATATGGTGAAACTGATAAACTTTAAATTTATATTTATTTTATCATAACAAAAAAATTTGGCCACATATGATTCACAATGTCTTTAATAGGAATTATAATTAATTTGGAAGTGAATGAATTGTGTACTTCTGATAAAAAATGCGATAAAATACCATTTCTCTTTCCAGAAAAGAAATCTGGAAAACTGACACACAACTCAAGAAAAACAGAAAAAGAATCAACATAAACTTCTTACTTTAATTGCTTCAGTCTGCATCACAGGTGCGGGCATAGCAAAGGCACTTGGAGCATAAACCTGGTGATATGTTGCTTGAACTCCATGATCAGAATAAGGCTATTATAAAAGGGAAGAAGGGTGGGGGTAAAAAGAGAGTGAGGGAGAGACATATTATTTTCATTTATTAATTTAAAATAGTTATTAGTATTATATTGTGCTAATCATTCTGCTACACAATGAAGAGAAGCATAAAACTGCATTATCTCTAACATATAGCCTGATCAAGAAACGGAAAGTAGTCAAATTACCCTATGTCCTACGAGACACGTATATGATGCATGGGAGAGAAGTATTTTTTAGTGTAGTTATCTCAGCTATCACACACACACACACACACACACACACACACACACACACACACACACACACAGAGTTTCCTTAGGGAGGAGTGTTGTCAAAATCACAGAAGGAAGCAAGAATACACCTCATCTGGGAGATCTGCAGATTGAAAGAAAGATCCCACACTTCAAGACAGCTGGAAGGGGTGAAATGGAACAAGACAGGGAAAAGAATATGTAAATCAGATGTTTCACTTGCCTAAGATGAGGCACCACTCATTGGAACACAGGAAAGTCTGATATTTATATAAACCAAATGTAAAGGGGCTGGAGAGGAGCTTGGCTTTTGACATGCACAATTTAGGGTATTTGTAGACATTCTAGTAAATGTGTACTGTCCAAAAGAAATGTAATGTGAATTACATATGTAACGTGAAATTTCCCAGGAGCCATGTTAGAAAAGAGTAACAGATGAAATTACTTTTTAGTAATATATTTTATTTAAACCAAAAGGTTCAAAATATTATATCAAAATAATAAACAATATTAAAGTACTGAGCTTTAACTTTTCTAGGGGCATACTATGTCATAAAAACCTGGTTTGTATCTCACATGTATGCAACATCTCGATTTGATCCTGCCACAATCAAGTGCTTATGGCCACACATGGTGAGTGGCTCTGGTACTGGATAGGCAGTCTGAAATTCAAGAGGGAGGCTGGTATGAATGACAGCATAGGAGTAAATATGGAGGGTGAAAGAATGGAGAGCCAAACATGAAATCATGGTGAGCAAAAGATTACTTTACAAGGGAAAAATAGAGAAAGGAATCTCAGAAAAGAGCAGTATCATGAGAATCAGAGGGAGACAAAGCCTCAACAGATACGTCTTTGAGAGGTCAAGTAAGATTAAAGAGGAAGAATGATTTGACAAAAGGAAGTCTCTGAGGACCCTTTTTAAAGGAGCTTTGGCCGAAGGTGATGAAGCAGACTCAGCAGGTGCAGAATCAGTGGATAGTAGAGTAGTTAAGAATACTGAGTGTAGAGGGCTGGGGATTTAGCTCAGCAGCATAAGCACCTGCCTTGCAAGCAGGCGGTGGTGAGTTCGATCCCCAGTACTGATAAGAAGTTTAAAAAAAAAAAAAAAGAATACTGAGTGTAGACAACTTGTTCAAGAATCTTAGCTTTGACAGGCAGAGGAGAGACCATGGGAAGACTGTGTTGCAGGATAATAAATGCCTTTCACAAGGTGCCATGCATTAAACAATGAAGTTTGTATACAATATTTCCTAATGTTTATATTAATTCTGAAAAGCACATTATCCTTATTTTACAAATAAGGAAATTATGAAAGCAAGACTGTGAGGATTAACTCCTGAGTAACACAGTAAGTGGTGAAGCTGTGGACCAATGGAGGGGAAAGAGTTAAAATACAAGAGGAATAGAAGGGTAACAGATGGAATAGAAAGGACCTGAAAATATCCACAGCATAAGTCAGAAATAAACTTGGACAAGACTCAGTGTTACTAAATACAAGCTAAAGAAGAGTTGGGATTTGTTTTCAGACTGAGTTGTTTTGCATAAATTGGTTTCTACTTTATAAAAGAGAAAGTAAAGTTTTCTCAAAGAGTGAAAGAGGAATTGGTAGTACTAAACACTTGGTAAGGGTTTAAAATGATCACTAAATGAGAAAAGATACTAACTTTTTAAAAAGGAAACTTGACTAACACCTTGCAGTTTCTAATTTTAGGGAAATCCCATTTAAGCTATTCATTAAATTATATAGAAGTTAGACTATATCTTCTATCAGAGGAATATTACAATACAATCATACAACTATCATTCTCTGTGTGGAAATACCAGGCAAAATACAAGTTATATTATTAAAATCTCATTAGATTCCAATACAAGTAACCTGGTATTTAAAGAACACATTATATAGAAAATAGGATACTATTCAGCCTAAAAAAGCAGAAATCCTGTCATCTGTGACATCACAGACGAAACCAGAGGAAACTAATATAAAGTCAGTCAGGCACAGATAAGACAGACAGACCCTGCATGCTGTCACTCAGACGTGGACTCTGAAAAATCAAGCTCATCAAAGCACAGAGTAAAATGATGGTTGGGAAGAAGGATGTGGAGATGTTGGCCAGAGGGAACAGAGTCTGTCAACATGAGTATGCTTGGAATAGTTACTGTACAGCATGGTGACTACAGTTAGTAATAATGTGCTATTTTACTCAAAAGTTGAGAGTAGCTGTTAAAACTGTTCTTACTGCAAGTGAACAAGAATAACTGATAGGGTAGTGGATTGGCTTGACGTTGTACTCATTTCAGAATGTACATATACATCAAAATATCTATAGCACATTCTTATTCACCAATTATACCTCAGGCAAAACTGGAAAAAAGCAATCATAAACAAGGATGAGACAAAGAAGGGAAGATAGTAAATATAAAGATACAACTGTTGAAATTATTTATTTAGAGAAAAAAAGCAAAACAGAAAAAAGTGTAGAAATACAGAATTAAAAAAATAACACTAAGAAATCACTGGGTGATAAATTATCATCTTAGAAATAGTTTAAGTTACAAAATCAAAGCATTAAAAAGTGAACAATCAAACAATGACAGTGCAAACCATTGTTTCATGATCCAACAAAAACTTAGTACTATGGTTATCTATTTTATACACTTAAACATACGTACAGTTATATCCTTTAGAGCACTTTCCTTCCCTTTCATTTTTATAATTTTATATCTATTATACATTTTGGATCTTATTTTGTTTTTATGTTTTACACTAGAAAGATAATGTGATATTTACAAATATGAGTCTTATTTCACTTATAAGGAGAGTCTTAAGTTGCCTCCATTTACCTATAAAAGCCTCAAGATCATCCTTTTTTATAGCTGAGTATTATTCCATTGTATAACAATACATCTTTTTCATCCACTCTGCAGTTGGTGGGCATCTTGGGTGTTTCCATGATTTAGCTATTACAAATTGTGCTGTTATAAACATGGGTGCATATATATCTTTGTGACACGACCTTTTCAATTTTTCTGGGAAAATCTGCAGGACAGGCGTAACTGGATTGAATGGAACTTCCAATCCTAGTTTGTTGAGGAATCGCCATACTGATTTCCACAGTGGCTGCACCAGTCTACCCTCCTACCAACAGTAGAGCAGTGTTCCTTTTTCCCCGCAGCCTCACCAACATTTGTTATCAGATAGTTGATTTCTTGATGGCAGTCATTTTTTCTGGAGTGAGATGAAATCTCAGTTCTGTTTTAATTTGCATTTATCAAATGACCAGTGATGGTGAACATATTTTCATGCATGTATTTGCCATTTGTGTATGTTCATCTGATGTGTGTTCATCTCAGATGCCCATTTTTAGAGAGGGTCTTTGAATTTAGGGGGCTTGATGCTTTTCAATTCTTTATATGTTCTGGATATAAGTCCTTTGAGGGATTTCTGGCTAAAATTCTTTCCCATTCTGTGAGTTCTCTTTTCACTTTGTTGCTTTCTTTTGAAGTGCAAAAACTTTTTAACAAAATGAGATCCCAGTTATTCTTTGAAGTATTCCCTATGTGGTTTGTGTTTTATTTGTGAATTCTCTGCCTACCTTTATGGCTCCAAGATTTCTACCTAGTCTTCCAGGAAATTTAGTGTTCCTGTTTTAATATTTAGGTCTTTGATCCACTTAGTTTTGTGCATGGTGATACGTATGGATCTAGTTTCAGTCTCTGGCATGTGGAAAGCCAATTTTTCCAACAGCATTTATTAAAGAGGCTATCCTTTTTCCAGTGAACATGTTTAGCCACTTTGTCAAATATAAGATGGCTGAGTGTCTTTGTAATTGTGTTTGCATCTTCCAACCTGTTCCACTGATAATCAGGTCTATTTATTTGTCAGTACCATGTTGACTTTATCACTATAGCTTTGTAGTATAGTTTTAAGTCAGGAATTGAGATGCCTCCTGCTTTGCCTTTGTTGCCCCGAAACATCTCTGCTATTCTAGGTTTCTTGTGTTCCCAAATGAATTTCAGGAGTTTCTCTAGATCTGTAAGGTATGTTAATAGTATTCTGATTGGGATTGCATTAAACCTGTGTAACAGTTTTAGGAGTATGGCCATTTTCACAATGTTGGTTTTTCCTAACCAAGAACAAGGAGTATCCTTCCATTTTCTAATATCCTTTTGAATCTCCTTTTTAATAGTAGTGTAACTGTCAGCATATAGGTCTTTTACATTCTTGGTTAGGTTGATTCCTAAGTAGTTCATTTTTTAGATGCTATTGTGAAAAATGCTATTTCCACAATTTCTCAGTGAGTTGCTATTGATTTTTGAGTGTTGACTTTGTATCCAGCTACACTGCTGAATTTATTATCTCTAGTAGTCTTTTAATGGAGCTTTTGGGTCTTCTATATAAAGTATCATGTCATTTGTAAATAGTGGTAATTTAACTTCTCTGCTATCTCTATTCCTTTTATTTCTCTCTCTCATCTGATTGCTCTGGCTAATATTTCCAGAACTATATTGAATAGGAATGGTGATAGTGGACAATCCTTGTCTTGTTACTGATTTTAGAGTGAAAAGTTTCAGTTTTTGTCCATTTACTATAATGTTGGCTGTTGGTTTGTCATAGATGGTTTTTATGAGATTGAGGTAGATACCATTTATTCTGAGTGTCTCAGGGTTTTTACCATGAACAAAAGTTGGACCTTATCAAAAGCTTTTTCTGTGTCTACTGAGATGATCATATGGTTTTTGTTTTTGGCTCTGTTAATTTGGTATTACATTTATTGATTTGCATATGTTAAACCATCCCTGCATTCCTGGAACAAATCCCACTTGTCCATGATGTATAATCTTCTTGATGATTTGCTCCATTCTATTTGCCAGTATTTTACTGAGAATCTTTACATCAATGTTCACTAGTGAGACTGGCCTATAGTTCTCCTTTTTAATTGGCGCTTTCTCTGGTTTTGGTATCAGAGTAATACTTGCCTCCAGGAATGATTTATGGAGGATTGCTTCTCTTTCAATTTCATTAGAGTTTAAGGAGTTTTGGCATCAAATCTTCTCTAAATTTCTTGTAGAATTTAGCTGTGAATCCATCAGGACCTGGGCTTTTGTTTGTTGGTAAGTTTTTAATCATGGTTTCAATTTCAATAGCTGATATTGGGTTATTCAAAATTGTTCATTTTCTTGATTGAGCTTTCGTAGTTCATGTTTCTAGAAATCTGTCCATTTTCTCTGTGCTTTCCACCCTATGTGAGTAGAGATTTGTAAAGTAGGTATTCAAGATCTTTTGAATTTCCATGGGATCTGTAGTAATTTCTCTTTTCAGTCCTTACTGTATGAACTTGAGTTTTTCTTTTTCTTGATAAGGTTGGCTAGAGGTTTATCAATTTTGTTTATTCTCTCAAAAAACCGGCTCTTTGATTCATTAATTCTTTGTATTTTTTTAGTTTCAACTGCATTAATTTATACTCTGATTGTTACAATTTCCTCTCTTTTATCAGCTTTGGGTTTTACTTGCTCTTTTTCTAGAAGCTTGAGATGTAGCATTACATTGTTTATTTGTGCTCATTCTGTTTTCTTTTTTTAAATTTTTTTTTTATCGGTACCAGGGATTGAACTCATGACTGCCTGCGTGCAAGGCAGGTGCTTATGCCACTGAGCTAAATCCACAGCCTTCATTCTGTTTTCTTAATATGATAATTTATTGCTATTTCCCTCTTAAGACCGTTTTCACTGCATCCCACAGGTTATGGTACATTGTATTCACATTGTACCACAATGAATTGTAGCTATTGATTTATTTCTTCTTTAATTTCATCTGTAACCCACTGGTTGTTCAGAAAAATTTAATTTCCATGTATTTATGCAGGTTTTGCAATTTCTTTTGTCATTAATTTCCAGTTTCAGTGCACTATGGTCAGGTAATATGCATGGGATAATTTCAATCCCTTTGCATTTACTTACGAATGTTTCATGGGTTAATATATGGTCTATTTTGGAGAATGTCCCATGTGCAGCTAAGAAGAATGTATGTACTGATGTCGTTGGGTGCAATACTCTGTAAACATCTACAAAGTCCATCTGCTCACAGGTTTGATTCAGTTCTATTAGTCTGCTGTGATTCTAATGAGCTTTCCTTGGTAAGTGAGTTGTGTATTTTCTCTAACAGCTTTTAGTATTGTTTTTATACTGTATGTCTGGAATCTTAGTATATTTCTGGGTGTAGATTTATGTTGGTTGTGACTGTTTGGCGTTCTCTATGCCTCACTTGTATGTATACTGGATTTTTTCCCCCATGTTTGGGATATTTTCTACTATTACTTCGTGAATAGTTTACTGATATCATTTGCGTTGACTCCTCCATCTTCATTGATGCTTATTAGTCTCATATTGTTTCTCATGGTATCATCTTGAAGCTGCTGAATTGTCATTTCATTCTGCTTTGTTATTTTTTAAAAATTCTATCCTTTCATGATTGCTAACTGCAATCCTGTCTTCAAGGTCTGAAATTCTATCCTCAGCTTCATTTAAATGGTTTTGCCAGCTTTCAATAGAATCTTTTGTTTCTTGCATATCTCTATGAATTTGTTTCAAGGATTCTGCTTGTTTTCTATATGTTCATTCAAGGTTTCAGTTTCCCATGCTCCTACATTTTTGTCTATTTCTTCTCTAGCTACGCTGAGCAACTCCTTTACTAAGGTTGTTATTTCTGTCTTTATGTGAGAAACTATTGCTAATTTGATTTCCTCTAGTCTCATAGATTTGTTTCATTTCACTTGCTATCTTTTCAGAGATTTCAGGTATATGACTTTTAAAGTCCTCTATTTCAATGTATCCTGTACTTGCTCCTGATGGACTAGATGTTTGAGTTTGCCTTTTGCTTTTTTGTCATTTTCACCTTTCAGGCTAATATGGGGTCTTTCAATTCCACTAGTCTCAACTGTTGATAGTGCATATATGGCTCCTACTGTGTGGTTGATGTTTATCCAATTGCTGGGTACCACAATGAAGAGGTGGGCCAGCCACCTGAATTCCTCCTGCAGCCCTGTTGGCTGAGTCCCATATTCTTTCTAGGCTGACTAGCCTAGTAATATTGATGTAAGTCAACCCTTAGTTCCTGCTATACTATGTCTTCAGGTTGTTCCAGGTCAGCAGATCTCCCTGTTTACAGTATTTTTCTTGGCTGGGACCCTACTGTGTCACTGGGTGTCTCTTAAGCCCTTTTAATTTCTCCAGATTAGAGGAGGCCTTCTTGGGGCCCTCCTCAACCAACCTGATGTTCTCTGTGTGGAGGAAGGACTCGCCCACACTCTTGCCAAGCTCGCCAAGATCTTATAGCTGGAAGGAGCTTCACTACTGCTCCTGTTTACCCACTGAAGACCTCTATTTTAGAGGTGTTTAGTGGGTATTCCTGTTTACCCACTGTTATTCCTGTTTATCCACTGAAGACCTCTATTTTAGGGATCTTTATTGTATTCACCACACTGATAGAAGCCTACTGGGGTCTTCTTTTTGGATGTGAGAATACTGAGCCTCCCATCAACCCAACATGGTTAATCCACTACAGTCCAAGGTTCTGGGAGGAGGAGTGGGAGCTGAAGATCAACGGCCATACCTAGGTTGAGGAAGTGGGGGGTTCCCTGAGATGGCATGGAAGCAGTGTAGCCCAGCCCAGCCCTGGGTGCTGGTGGAGGTCCAGGGCAGCGGGGATGTGGAAGCGGTACGGCCTGGCCCTGCATGCCAGTGGAGCTCTGGGGGCCCAAGGTGGTATGGCAGCAGGGTGTGGAAGCTGTGCAGCCCACATCGTTGAAATTATTGTTCCAGAACAAAAATTATAGTGTTATAAAGCTTAGCAATAAAAGTATGCACTCGAACCAGGAGGTAGATGCTTATTTATAATTTTTACAACACTCATTTAAAATATACCATGCCTAATTCCTATCACATAGATGGCAAGGCTATTGATGACACAAATACAATTCAAAAATACAATCTGAAGACACAGAAGATGGTAATTTGTAGTAAACTATAAAATAAACTATATACAGAGAGAGAGAGAGAGAGAGAGAGAGAGAGAGAGAGAGAGAAAACACATGTATGAGAGCAAGCAAGAGTGAGAACATGAGCCTTTTTGAGACAGGGTCTCGCTATGCAGTTCAGGCTGGCCTTGAACTCACTTTGTAGCCCAGGCTGGCATCAAACTTGCAGTGATCTTCCTGCCTCAGCCACTCAAGTGCTGGGATTACAGGTGTGCACCACACTGCCTGGCCTTGAGTTATATATTTTAAGGAAGATTTTTTTTAGGCACTTTTTTTTACTGCCTTAATGATTATGTTTCTAACTGACTGAATATGAGCAATAATACAGATCTGACAGGCAAAATGATAATGCAAAACATCTGATATCTTATTATTTTCAACATGATTAAGTCAGAGATTAGCTTAGTGCAGCTAAGAGTTGATGAGGAATGATCAGAACTAGTTAGTAAAATCCCAGACGAAGCATTCTTATATACAAAAATAGAGAAAACATAAATCAAAGATGAGCAATTTCAATGAGGATCTTGAACAAATTTTTTAAAAAGAGAAAAAGTAGCAGCTAAAGATGAGTTACTTTACTATTAATATAGGGGTGTAGTGCTGGAGATGTAGCTCAGTTGTAGAGTCCTTGCTTAGCATGTGCAAGACCCTATTCCATCCCAAGCACTGCCTAAAATTAAAAACCAAAAAAATAAAAAGAGCCACAAATACCTCTGGAACAGAAGCTTCCATCAGAGACAGTGGAGGAGGAACACATCCACCATCTTGTGCAATCTCCATGGGTTGATAAATTACTTCAGAAGGTTGTAGGTATAAGAATGGAGTAGAAGAGGCAGGAGACTAAAACACAAAAGCAATTTCAAACTCAAATATGATTAATTATCTCCATTAGACAAATGACGGGAGACCTTTCAGAGTTTCAATTATACAGTTGTCTGTGGCACTTGTGTCACAGGTTCACCACCAATGACTTATCCAAAAAATGAGAGAGATACTTGTTTCATCTTTCCTTAAACTACTTTTTAGAATTTCTTAGCAACAGAATTATCTTAGCAATAGATTAGGAACTCTGGGATTTTATAAATTCCAACTGCACAGATGGCAGTAAACAACAATCACTATAAATACCAACTTATTAGTGCCTCAGGATCTTACATGTCAATTCAGATAATAACTATGGTTATATTGAATATCTCTGAAGTCTCAGATTTTAGGGCATCTTGAATTTCAGATTAGGGATGTTCAAACAGTAAAACCTATATAAATATTCCAAAATGTAAAAAACTTCAGAAGTATGTAATAATTTTTCTCCCAAGGATTTAAGATAAGGTATCAAACTTGTATTTATTAAGGAGGGTAACTCAAACTTAAGCAAAATTGAAAGTGAAACTAGACAAATGCTAAAATTTCTAATAATACCAATCGTAAAAAGAAATAATTTTAAAGTTTATATAACATTCATTTACTTACAAAATGCTTTCATTTATATATCTCATTTATCTTCACAAATATGTAAGGAAACTTACAAAAGTATAGAATCATTACATCCACTTTTACAAATGAAGTGAGAATATAGTGATTAAATGAACTATTAAAGGAATCACAGTAAACAGAAGAGGAGGTCTGAAAGGTTGTTTTCCTGACATTAGTCTCCACAAGAATACAGAGTTCATATATTTAAGTTAGATACTGATTGTTAATATTTACCTGAGGGACACCCCATTGCCACTGTCCCGGAAGACACTGTGCTGGGGCCTAAAATGAGAAATGACAAACAAAAACCATCTGGGTTATACATACAAGACAGCACCAGGCGAACAATGAAGCTGGGCCTGTCAGCTACTTATAAAAATTAACTCAAAATGGATCAAAGACAGAAATGTAAAAGCTAAAATGATGAAACACTTAGCAAAATGTGTAAAGCTTTGATACTGAATTAGGCAATGTTTTAAAAATGACAAAAGCTTAAACAAAGAACATCTACACAGAGGTGTATTTTTAATATAAATTAATATTGGATTTTATCGAAGAGTTTTTGCCTTGAAATTGGCATGATTTGATATATTACTCTTAGGCACTTTTCTACAATGTATTTAACATCGTTTTCTAAAATGTTCATGTTAAAAATCAATTTTCTTTATATATTAAAAAATAAAATTCTGACACCAAAACACACATAACAATAATCAGAGGAACAAAAGAAAAAGAAACAGGTAAAATGGATCTCATCAAAACTTTAATGCTGCAAACGTCACAACAAGATTGAAAACACAACACATGCTATGGAAGAAAGTATAAGTCATATATTTGATAAGGAAATTATATGAAAAACATGTAAAGAATTTTTTTTTTTTTTGTGGTACTGGGAATTGAACTTAGAACCTCATGCTTGCTAGGCAGGTGCAGGGCTGCTGTGCCATACCTCCGGCTGAAGAACTCTTAAAACTCAAAATAAAAATACAAGTAACCCAACTTATGAATGAGTGAATGATACAATAGGCTTTCCACCAAGAAGAATATAAAAAGACAGATATATATGGCTAATAAAATATACATATCTATACAGTGTTATTTTTGTCACAAACGATTCTTTTTCCAATTTTGGTCACAAACTCAGTTGGATGAGAACTGAATCAAATTAAATGGCAAGGCTCAATGTTGTCCTTATAGGGAAATTTGGTTGATTTCTCATCCAGTTCAGGTCGTGACCAGAATCATGGAGAGAGTTGAATTTGTGAACCCTGGCACCACTCTTATGAGATTTACATAAATAAGACCAATAAGCACATATAAAAAGAAAGTGTTTAATATCATTAGCCTGAGTGGGAATACAACTGAAATCCATGATGTGCTACCAGCTCACATTCAGGACAGCTATAATCAGAAGTATACCTGAGAACAAGTGTTAGTGGAGCAAGCTAGAAGCCTCATACGTTGGCAGTGGGACTATAATATGGTGCAGCATTTCTGCAAAGCAACATGACACTTCTTTAAAAAGTTAAGTATATATATTCTTCTCTAGGTGTGAAACCTAAGAAAATGTAAATGTGTGTCCCATGAAACCTTATTGATTACAACATTATTTGCAACAGTCAAAAAGCAGAGATGATCCAGGAGTCTATCATCCGATGAATGAAAATTTTGGTGGATCCACACCAAGGGATTTTATTGTGAGATGAGATACAGATACCTGCAACCATATGAGTAAATCTTTACACTGAGTGAACAAAGCTAGTCATGAAATATCCTGCACTTTATGACTTTTGTTTTTTTACATAAAATGTCCAGAAGAGGCAAATCTATGAAGACAGAGATGATTACTGGCTGCCTAGTTAGAACGGGGAATGGGGAACAGGAGGGACTGCTAATGGGTAAGATTTACGGGAGCACGTGGTTTTATAATAATCTAAAGTTGACTTTGATGTGGTTGCATAACAATGAATTTATTAAAAATTTATACTTTTGTTAGGTGAATTTTACAGCACATGAATTATATCTAAATAAACCTGTTAATAAAGCACAGGCTGGGCCAGGTACAGTGGCACACACCTGTAATCCCAGGTACTTGACAGGCTGAGGTAGGAAAAGCACATTCCCAGTCTTTTTCTCTGTCTTTGCCACTGGATTTGTTTTTGGGATATTTTTTTCAGAAGAGGTTGCGTTGGAGCGGAAGGACACCCCACTCCCAACACTCTCTTGTTTAAAAAAGCCTTGTAATGTATCTTCCTTCTAAGGTGGGCAGTGAGGTAAGGATCTCAAAACTGCGTTCACAACTTTTCAGCCAGTCATTAAATGATATGGCACCTAATCATCTGTCTTTGGGGCCTCTGCTGAAATTCTGTGACAATCTAGGAAAAGTCTTGCTATATAATGTGCTTTAAGTAAATGCCATTAAACTACTTTAGCTTTTAAAAAGAGGTAATATATTTAGTATAGTAATAGAATTAAAATTTGATTTTCCCAAAAATCTAATAGTGAAAAGATTTTGAACATTTTTGTTACTTTGAGATAGAGCCTCACTATATACCCCAGGCTAGCCTCAGATGCATGGTAATCTTCTTGCCTAAGTCTCCTGAATTCTGGGATTACAGGCAAAAGTCACTATACCTGGCTCGATCCTACAATGTTAATTTAACATTTCATGTAAGTCTGTTTTAGAAGTTGAAAAAGTAGCAGAAATATAAAGTTCTTCCACTGCCCCAGAAGTATGAAAAATGTGATTTTGTAAAATGGAAATGTTATAAATCAGAGATTGACAAATATTTTCTGCAAAGGACTAGACAGTAAATACTTTTAAGATTTGCAGGCCATATGATCTTTGTTAAAACTACTCAGCTCTTTCATGCTAGCACAAAAGCAGCCTTAGGTATACAAAAACAAATGTGGCTAGGTTCTAGTAATGCTTTATCTACAAATGCAGGCTGTTGGCTTGGTCTGGTCTAGAATGATGGTTTGATGCCTCTGCTGTGAACCAAACGGTCTAGCATCGTAATTCACTTACTCCCAATTTCTTACCACAGTTAATTAAAAGAGTCATGGTTAACTAAAAGAGGCTGTCATTACACAATAGGTAATAAACCACAAGTTGTTTATTTAAAAAAATATATATATCACATGAAATACACATAACATTAGCAGTAACATAAAATATCAACTTGTGGTCCAAGACTTGTATCTGACTTGAGGAATTATTGCTAAAGGTGGTTTAGAAGTAAATTTTAGCCAGGGGAACAAAACTGACCTCATTACATTTGCTAAAATGAAGCACAGTCCATCTTCTTATATAACATGGTTTAATTCCCTCATAAAAAAAGAAAAAATACTGCTGTCAAGGCTTAAGCATCTCCTTTTTATCAGTAGAGTATTTGCATGAGAAATAAAAAAATGAAAGTTATCTCAAAAAAGGCTGAAAGTATCAGACAGGGCTTGAATTGTAATTTAATAATTTAATATCTACCTGATAGTGATATGTAGGTTGCTGATAAACAGGCTGAGCTACCATCACAGGAGAACTAGATACGGAACGTGACTATATGAAGAGAAGAAAAATAGAACTGTTTTAGACAAAATTCTTTAAAATAGTTTATAATAAAACATTTCAAATTGTTGCATAAACTTGAACTTTTCATTAATGATTAAAAATGATTTTTTCTATTTAATGACATCACCACCAACTCTACTAGTCTATTTAAATAATCATCAGAATATGCCTATTTACATGTGCTTCACTTCCATAATAATACTGTACTAAAACAACAACAGTACCAGAAAACTTGCTTTTAGTCTTAAATGTATCACTTTCAAAGATTATCAAAACACGTCAAAGATAATGTTCACAGAAAAATGGCATTTGAACTTAAGAGTACACTGCCTCTTTCAATTGTGGAAACTAGAAGCAAGTAATGTTTATAACAGCATTTAAGACTGAATTAATAATATCTGTTTTCCCAATGATTTAGCATTAAAGTAACATTCATTTCTTTGTTACATATTGATTTAAGAGCAAATACATTATTTACTGAAACATCTGTCAAATTCTTTTAGTAATGATACTTAAGTTAATTACCCAATAAACTTGTGATACATCTATATCTGAAGTACAAGCCACACTTGACTTTTCAACAAGAGTAAGCTCTCAAATAGATTTGATGCCAAATCATTAATAAAGAAGCATGCTGTATTTCAAGACAGATAAAAATCACTTTAATTGTAGTGAATAAAATTTAGATTCTAACATGGGAACTTACTTATTGTCTTATACCCCCTAAACTGAAGAAAAGTATTACTTTGTAAGATATAGTTATTTTTATATGCTAATAAAATTATACTACAGATTAACATTAGAAAATAAAAATATGCAGTAGATTAAAAGAAAAAATAATAGTCTCAGCAGCTACAGAAAATTATTTTAAAAGTTTTCTTTTTAGAATAAAACCTTGTAGCAAACAGAATATAAAATAACTTCCTAAATTGTTTTAGGGCACCAGCTTTCACTATGGGTGATTGTGCCACATAGAAACCGTCTGGCAATGCTGGAAAATGTTCTTGGTTTTCATAACTATGAGATAGGTGGAGATAATTCTAAACATCCTACAATGCATAGAACAGGTCTCTCCAACAAAGAAATCATTTGGTTCAAAAAAGCAAGAGTGCCAAGGCTGTGAGACTCTGATAATGAATATTTTCAAAAGCCTACAGAGAGACAGACAAAAGTTTAATCGTGAATCAATAATGAACTTGTTTTTTTAATCAAAAATAAGATGTTGAAGTTATTACATCAATTCTGTAGCAGGGACACTGCCAGAATGACTCAAGGAGTTGGGGAAGAAGGAGAACAACATGATACAATGAAAAAGACCTTTATATAGAGAGGTATCATGTTCATGAGTAGGGAGATTCAGTATTAGAAAATACTACATGTCCCAAATTAACCTATATATTACATGTAAGATTCAAATAAAACCGCAAGAGGACTTTTTTCAGAATGAAACGAGCTGAGTTATAAAATTTGTACGTATAAAAGCAAAGACTTGTGACAGACAAGAGACTTCTGAAGTATAAAGTGAGAGCCTGTTCTATCAGATTTTAGGACCTAGGATAAAGCCATAGTAATGAAAGAGAATTGGGCAGAGCAGTCAAGTATACCACGGGAACAGAACAGACCTGCACAGAGCAAGCTGGTGTGTAAATGACAACTTATTTCCAACAGGAAAAGGATAGATTAGTTAAAGCTGAAATCATAAAGGAAAACATTAATACACTTGTCAACATTAAATTACACAAAAAGTGTAACTATTTATAGGGGGAAATCTTGAAACCATGTTAAATGGACTAGCCACAAATTAGAAAGAGGCATTTACAATGCACAAAACTTACGTAATAACCAATAAAAAGCCAAATCACCCTTGTAGAAAATTGGGCAAAAATATGAACAGGTAGTTCATAGAAGACGCTGAATTGCCCAATAAATATATGAAAAATTCACTCTTGCTGGTAATTAGACAAACTAAAAACAGAACGAAGTAACATTAATAAGGACCTTGGCAAAAATGCAAGAATCTGCTGACTGTGGAATGACCAATAAATATATGAAAAGTTCACTCTTGTTGGTAATTACACAAATTAAAAACAGAACCAAGTAACAATAATAATCTTGGCAAAAATGTAAGGATCTGCTAGCTCTAAAGATTGGTACAACATGAAGAACTTGGAAGTGTCACACACCGCTGGCTAGAGTTTATAAACAGGTACACTTTCTAAAGCTTTTAGTCAACATTTAGTCAAAGATGCATGTGGATTTCAATTCTATGCATGTATCAGAGTATGTTAGGGGACTACAAAATTTTCCAGTGACTCAAAAGCATGAATAACTGCAATGTTCAGAGCCTAAACTTGATCTATTTGTGAATATTTCTGTAGTCTCTGGATTCCTCTTTTCAAAATTCCCCTTTTACTCACTTCTTTCTCTAATGCATACTTCTCATTCTGAATGTTACTATACTGCTTTGTCCTGAAATGTAAATACCATCAGTGTATCAAACAAATACACAATTCAAGAAGGTAATGCCCAGAGAAATATGAATTAAAAAGAGCTTGTACAAGAAACATTAAAGAGGAGATGATATCTTATTTCATCCAGGAAAAATAACTAAGCAGATGCTCACAGCATATAAACTCTTCTATCTGAGTTTAAAATAAAGTCAAGATCTTATAATAGTTTTATGAGAGTAGCTTTGCTAAATGAACTGTAGAGCAGACATTTTCAATTACTAAAATAAGTACAAGGTTTTAATAAAAATTCACTTACAGCAAATTTGTACTATATCATATGCCTAAACTATTTAAACTTACAAATTTCAGGTATCACCTTAAAATGAGTGTAATTTTTCAAAAAAATTGGACAAAACCTTTGAAAATCACAGCCCTGAAAACATTCACATAATATATATAAGATCTAGATGCTCAATACAGCCTTCATTGTAAAAAAAGTTTAAATGTCCATGAATAAAGGAATCTAAAAAGTTGTAGTACATTCATATAGTGAAATAATATAAAATATTAAAGTGAACTAGATATATAGAGATTAACAGGGTATAATAAAAGGATCAACACAGTTTTAATTTAAAAAAACATAGCATTGAGTAAAAACTCAGAATTAGACAGTATTTAAGAACCACTTAGCTAGAGATGTGGTATAATCCAAAAAGGGATCTGCACAGTTTAATCTCAAAAACATAGCACTAACTAAAAATCTAGATTTATTCAGTGTTTAAAAGCCACTTCACTGGGGATGTGGCTCAGTGGTAGAGTTCTTGTGTGCACAAGACCCTGGATTTGATCTCTAGCAGCACAAAAAAGAACCCCAAAAACACCCCAAAACCACTTGGTCAAGCATGGTGGAATACACTTGTAATCACAGCATTTGGGAGGCTGAGGGAGGAGTCTGAGCCAGCCTGGGCCACATGCTGAATTCAAGGCTAGCCTGAACTATAGAGTGAGACCCTCTCTCAAAAAACAAACCACCCAAAACAATATTATATGTTGTTTAAGGATACATACACCTGCAGTAAAAACATACAAAACTGATGGGAAACATACTCTAGAAGGAAAGATGGTAAGAACAGAGATAAGGAGAATTTTACGTGAATCTCCCCTTTAAGCTAAATTTTATTCTCCCCTTTAAAATAAGTTAATATGGCAAAATATTAACATCTATTAAACTTGGGTGAGCAGGACATGAGTGCTATATTATTTGTTTGAAAAAAATTCAGAAATAAAGCAATTACTTATAATATTTGATTTCAATGGGTGAAAACTCTTTAAATGAAGTTACTTACAGGCCAAGCTGGTGGGACAGAAGTTACCTCTGGAGTATGAAAATAAGCCACACCATTATGGTAAGTGTAAGGATATCCAGTTGAAGTGGTTAGATACATTGTTCCAGCAGCTGGCATTACACTAGAACCTAAAGCAAAGATTAAACAATTGAGAGCATTCAACTTTTAAATATGTAATTTCTGAACACTTGGAGAAATATTTAATGCAACTAAAAAAGTATAGTAAAGTATTCTAAGTATGTTTCAAAATTCCATATATCAAACTATCTTTGAAGCATGTATTGTCAAACTCATTACCTTATAACTTTTATTGGCTAAAGGTAAAAAAAATCTACCAATTTAGATTCTAATGCCAGTATAATGAAACACAGAACTTAACAATAAACATTATCAGCTATCATTTTTATAAACAACTTAAGAGTTACTGAGAAAACTGCAGACACTAAAGTTCCTCAGATCTGAGACCTAATTTACAAAGTTTAAAGTTGATCGAGGCAGGGGAGAGGGTGAAGATTCCACTTTCCTGAAGACTTCTGGCTTGTACTGTACTACTTGTTTGGGTTTACTGCCAGCAGGCATGCATACATACTATGATTCTCTTTTTGTCTCCAGTCCCCCTCCGGGTGCCACAGACTTGTTGCCGTGGGCCACGGGCCGCAGCCCAGAGTGACTGGGCGTCCACCGGCTGGCCCTGCTCCTGACTCCGCCGCAGCCACTGACCAGAGGGGAAGCAGTGCAAGGTCTGCTGTTGCCGCTGCCACTGCCCGGAGGAAAGGTGAGGCAAAGTAATACAGTGCAGGCCACAGCGCTTGACTGATCCAGAGGGGAGGGGCTAGCATATGCTGTCCCTGTCTGCAACTCACTAGCACACTGCAGTGTGAAGGGTCACCTAGCCAGCACACTTCAAAGGATTGTAACCAACAAAGAAAGTAACTGGGGCCTCCTGGAAGAAGCAAAAAAGATGGGAAGGGGAAACAACAAGAAAAAATCCCCAGGTCCCAACCCTGAGAACACTGACGCAGGACAGGTAAATACAAAGGAGAATGAGAACAGCAAACATGCAATATCAGACTCAGCACCAGTGGATATAGAGAGATATATTTGGGACCTCATAGACGAGTTCAAAAGTAAAATATTTAGCCAAATAAAGTAAGAAATAAGAAAATTAAAGAGATACTAAGCATCCCTCAAGCAGACACAGATGGAAGGGAGGAACTCAAACAAAGGAGAGAACCATTTGATGAATATAAAAAAATATAGAAGGGGCTGGGGATTTAGCTCAGCGGCATAAACACCTGCCTAGTGGCAGGCAGTCGTGAGTTCAATCCCTGGTACCGATAAAAACGAAAAAGACCACAAAAAAAATATATAGAGTACATAAAGCAGATTCAAAGAGATCACTATGAAATTAAAAACTCTATGGAAAGATGGCAAATCAGCTTGAAAGAAACTTAAGGATAGATTATCCAAACTGGAGGACAATTTTGCAATGTGGGAGTATGAAAGGGAAAATTTTTAAAAATAACAAGGAAACAAGCATTAACAATACAAAGGCTAGAAGATGACAAAAGGATCTATAACGAGAATAAAGAATGTGAATGAAGAAGCTGGGGTACAAACAAAGGAACTACAAAGGTTATTCACAGAAATAATTAAGGAAAACTTCCCAAACATAGGAAAAAGAAATGATATTCTGATATATGATTCATACAGAACTCTAGCCACGTACAACCAAAACAGAGCTATACCCAGGCATATAATAATCAAGATCCCAGAAATTCAATATAAGAACAGAATATTAAAAGCTGTTGAGATGAGAAACAGATAACCTACAGAGGAAGGCCCATCAGAATAACGGCAGACTTCTCCACACAAACCATCAAGTCAAGAAGAGTCTGGAGCGAAATATTCCAAGCCCTCAAAGAAAATAACCTCCAACCCAGATTGATATATCCTGATAAACTGTCTTTAGAAATTAATGGAGAAACAAGATGCTTCCAAGACAAAGAGGAACTTGGGAAATTGGCAACCACCAATCCAAGTCTACAGAGATACTGCAGGACATTCTAGAGAAAGAGAAAAGTACTAGGATTCCAGGAACAGTGGCAGAGAGGCCTCAATGAATGGAGCAGAAAACACAATGAAGAAGATAAGCAAACAACTGATGGCAAACAAGAGCATAACAGAAATGAGGCAGAGAAGATTTTATTCAAAACTGATATGATTGATAGTATCAAGTCTGAGGGTATAGGCAACTACACTGAAGATGACAAGACTCTATGATACACACTCTGGTTTGATAACTGCCTGTTTTTGAAGTTCTATTCTATATACAAAGTTGTGTTTTTATTAACACTGTTATGTACTGATATATTCAATTATACTATGTCTGATGATATAGCCAACTCTATTGGAGATAACAAGAGACAACACAGGAACCGTGGTAAATCTCTTTGTACAACAGTCTTATATGTTTATTTCATTTCATGTGTTTATAGGAATGTTTTGTTTTGCCATGCTGTGTTTTGTTTCTCCCTCTAATATAGAAAGGATAGAAAAACATGTTAAGACTCATACATGTATAGAATCTATAAACAGCTTCATGAGAACAGATCTTATGACACATGATGAAATGAAGAGATACTTTGAAGAAAAAGACACACTAAAATACCCAGTGCTGATCCTGGAGTATCATAATGTGAAATCCAGCAATAGTATTATTCTTTGTTCAGAGTGATATTAGCCTGCTTGGGTTTATTCAATAACAACATAATTTAAGATATGGATAACTGCATGTATGTTTAAGTGTATAGGATTGATAACCATATTTCTAAGTTTTTGTTGGATAGTTGAACAGAACTTGTTGCCATCTCACTGTTTGAATTCCCACTTTATATACTCCACTTTAGTATCTTGAATAACTATTTGTAAGAAGACAATCTGTAATCATCAACTAGTGATTTCTTACTGTTTATTTTTTCTTTGATATTATGTATTATTTCTACCCATTTTGTTTATTCCTACTTTAAATTAAATTAAAAAAAGGCACTACACTACCCAGTGCTGATCAGAGTGTCATGATGTGAAATCCAGCAATACTATTATTCTTTGTTCAGAATGTTTCTAACCTGCTTTAGTTTGTTTAATCTAAACATAAATGAAGATATGGATAACTGCATATATGTTTAAGTGTATAGGATTGACAACTATGTTACTAAGTTTTTGTTGGACAGTTGAACAGAACTGTTTGCAGTCTCGCTGTTTGAATTCCCACTTTATATATTCTACTCTTGTACCTTGAACAACTATTTGTAAAACAATATGTAAACATCAACTTGTGATTTCTTATTGTTTTTTTCTCTGACCGTATGTATTATTTCTACCAATTTTCTGTTTTGCTTAGTCTTTCTTTAAATAAAATTTTAAATAAAATGACCTGTCTTTGTGTAGCTAGTCTAGAGGTCCAAAGTCCCCAACTCTTTTTTCCAAGCTAGGTTCCCCTGACCAAGAAAAAAAATCAACAGGGCATGAGAGCATGCAACTTTAATCCCAGCTCTCTGAGAGGCTGAGGCAGAAGGATTGCAAAATCGAGCCCAGCCTAGGTAACTCACTGACTCACCAAATCTTGTCTTAAAAACATAAAAAAGAGCTGGGGACATAGCTCTAGTATATCCTGAGTTCAGTACTGCCAAATCCAAACATAAAGATACAACCACAAATCAAATTACATACACTGTTTTGTTATACAGGAGACTTGAAAAGTCACAAACTGGACCAGCAAGGTTTTATAAATGACTGGAACTGAGAATAGTCCTTCAACTATACCTGTGCTTCTCAAAATTTAACATACACTAGTCATGTAGACAGTTTATTAAAATGCAAATCCCAGGGACCCATCACCAGACCTCTTGAGCAAGGGCCTGGAATCTGTTGTTTGAACATCTCCATTCAGACTGAAGCTGTCTGCAAACTACACTCAGTTCCGCTGGCCCACTACTATAAGCAGCATTACTATTTCTCAGATTTTATATTTTCATTGCATTTGATCTAGTATTATATCATTTACTTCAGTGTTTTTTAAACCTTATTCTTTTGATGGTCTGTGGCTGGAGATACAGCTCAGTGGCACAGTGCCTGCCTGGAAAGCAACGTCATTAGTTTGATTTCTGGGACCAAAAAAAAAAAAAGGACAAAAAGAGAATCTGATGAGACCCATGGACATTTTCTCAGGGACATATATATTTTTCAAGTAAAATTTCACACAGTGTAAGAGGTTCATAAACTAGGTCCTGGAGACACAGCAAACCCTTTTTAAAAAACCAGACACGGCATAGCTTCTATGAACATAGAGATTAGGTTCTGGTATGAAAAATAGTTGTTAGCTAATTACACAATCAATTACGATTTTGATAAACACATGAAGAGGTACTATAGGATATGGTACCAGATAATGCAGAGTACTGCAGTGATTATTTATACTATTTTACACACAGAAAACATTAAAGTGGCAAGAGTAAGGAACAGAAAGCACTGCAGCAATGTGAGGCAGGCATACACCCTAGAGCTTTTGAGGACCACCCCGTTGGGTGACTATGGCACCCGTAGGTGGGGACAGCACACACTATGAAGGCAGTTTCTGCTATCAGTTCTGCATTCTCACTTTCAGTATTTTTAGAAATTTTAATTAACTGTTCTAATTAGAATTTTAACTAGTACTTCCAAGTTACTAGGTTACTTTTTTTTTTTTTTTTTGGTACTGGGGATGGAACTCGGGACTTTGCACTTGCCAAGCAGGTGCTTCTGCAGTTGAGCTATATCCCTGGCACTAAACTAGTTCTAATTAAGTTTGCTTTTTTCAAGTATTTCCATTATAAAGGATTTTTGCTTCAAAGATATAACTATATGGAATATGCTTAGGTACCATTGTTTATGTATATCTTTCCCTAATCAAAAAACTAAGACAAATCAATTTGTGATAAAAATCCCTATATACAAACTTTGCTAATTTTATTACATGAAAGAAACATGGTGTCTTAATAAAAACTGGTATTTCACAAAGGACCATGCAAAAATATATAATTCATTAGTTCTCAATACATACGAGAGATCCCTACTTGTTGTTTTCTTATTGCTGGACCAATGTTCAGTTTCTTGTCTTTATAATTAAGTTTTTCAGCCTAAAATAAAAATAAATTATTTTTATCATTTTGGCACTGTATAAATACAAAACAATACAGAACATCTAACAGATTTTTTGGTCCAGGCTGGCCTTGGGCTCACTTTGTAGCCCAGGCTGGTCTTGAACTTGGAACAATCCACCTCCCTCAGACTCCTGACTGCTGGGATTACAGGAGTGCGCCACCATGCCATGCTTTTTTTTTTTTTGGTCTTTTTGAGACAGGGTCTCACTATGCAGTTCAGACTGGCCTTGAATGTACTTTGTAGCATAAGCTGGCCTTGAACTCACAGTGATCCTCCTGCCTCAGCCTCCCAAATGCTACGTGTCAATTGTGAGCCACCACGTCTAGCATGAATAGATATTTTTAAATATTGAGATTATAAATCATTGAAAGCAACAGGACACAGTGGAAGAGCAGGTTTTTGGATTCAGGTAACCTGAATACCAATCTTGCTTCTGATGCTGGGACCCTAACACCCTGTCTGCAGTACAGTCTATCCTATATTTACTGATTCTGTATCTGTGACTCTCTAGAATTGGTACTTCTGGTGATGTGGAGGCTATTGTGGACATGCACAGAATGGTCAAATGTTTGAGTAATTACACATGCAGGTTCCTAGCCACACAGTGATACTTCCTGTTTAAGCATACACTTTAAAAAAGCGTTACCCTATTTTTGCTAGTAATTCTGTTAGGTAAATGCCTTTAAGTTTGGTGCTGAATCCTGGCTGTGTTCCTGAGCCCAGGAAGACTGTCTGAGGGTAATGGAGAAAACAGGTGTTGGAGGTGAATTGAGGCATGAATCATGGTGCTGCTCATCATGAATTCAATGTTAATAAATCACCAATTTATTGGACATCTTTAAATAGAAATACACGTAAAACAAGGTTACGTGTGGACTAGTTGATGGTACAGGAGCTCTTGGGAACCTGACTTTGCTATTTGCAGTGAGAAAAGCAGTGTAGTCTTCACTGATTCAGTACTCTTGGTGATGTTAAGGTTCTAACTACCATCACTAACAAGAGTTGACTGATTTTAATAATACACAATTCAAACTCTTAAATTTTTCTAAAAACCTGAATGTTCCATTTGCTACGACTTAAAGCTATTACACTTAACTGCAGGCTATGGATTTTTTCTAAGAATGCTCCTGGGTTTACATGGAGCACTGGCAGTGAGTATCCAAACTGCAAACCTAAACCCACTTATTTATCACAAAATGTCAACCCTGCAATTAAACCTGAATACTGAAGTTTCGGTTTAGGAAAAACCTTTAAAGGAAAAACACAGTATAAGAGAGCTTTCAATGATACAAACAGTTTGCTGTGGCACACATGACATAGGTGTGCCACTATTGACAGTTTTTCATAGGAGGTAAACAATCTCAGATAAGGTTATAAAAAGATACATCCTCCAGTTATTCATTAAGCAAAAAGACTGAAAACTTTTGATCTCACAATCACACTCAATGATTTTGAATCTGTTTTTCTACAGACAGTTTCTTGGAGATCAATGGTCATTTTAAGATGCATGTAAAGTGTCTTTTTTTCTTTTTAAAGCAACTAATTACTACTTCAAATATCTTATAAGGCTAATTTTAAAGAAAGATCCAAAATGAAGTTAAATATACCAAAAGATCTTACCTCTTGTAAAATTTTTTGTGCATCTTCTTGTGTTTCGAAAGTGACAAAACCATACCTAAATAAATGCATTAATTATTACCAATTATTTTCTTAGAACATTTCATGAGTTAGTTTTTAATTTGTGCTGCTAAGAATCAACCCAGGATCTTATGCACTTTGGCAAATCTTTGTACCATTTAGCTACACCCATACCTCTGAACTAAAATTTTTAAAAATTCTGTTAAGAATAGGCCATTGTAGGAGCCTCTTTCTATGCCACACAAACATGTGGATGTTAGAAGAATCATTCACAGCTGAACACTGTCACCTTCTCTTTCCAAAGTCAGGGGACTGAAAGAAAAAAGAAACCTGAGCTTCACATAAGGAAGAAAAGCATGAGAGATTCATGTTTTGACTTAAAAATTGAGACACAATGAATTTCAATCCAGAGCTGTAATATCCTTCTAAAGTAATAGGCTTAAATACAGTAATCAAAGTAAATAAAGGAACTTTAGAAAATTAAAATTTCCAACAGTAAAAGTGTATTGATAAAATTGTATTTTATTATTAGCACAATCAATAGTACATTTCTCAAATATCAACCAGAAATGTACACAACCTAGATTTTAGATCTGCTTTCCGTATGTGATTGGTACCTTCAAGTACAGCTTATATAATGTTCAAGATATAAAAACATGCCATGTCCAAAAAATCAAACTAGAAAAAGGAAACTAAAAAGCCTGTCTACTAAAGTACATCTTTTGTTTGGAAAACAAAAACTCTTGACTAATGATAAAAATCCTGACTTGCAGGTTTTCAATTCATAATTATTGTACCATATATAAAGTTTCTTTTTAAACAAAGGAATGTTTCTATCTTTTTTCCTAAACATTAAACAAATTATTTTTATACTGCAGCTTTTAGTAGAACACAGGCATCACCTAATGGAAAATGCACAAAATACACGTATATGTATTTCAATGTGTGTTTTTCAGTGATGAAAAGTAGATATTATCAAACGAATTCAAAATCTGCTAAACAAATCAGTGTAATATTAATTAATTTTAATATTTTTAGAAGTCTGTGGAAGGAAGGATTTCACATTTAATCTCGCTGTGGGTTCTTTCCTCTTCAATCTGTCACACTTACCTGTCGTTTCCCTTGTACTGTGTCTGTAATTATGTATGTTCCACCGCTCTTCAGTAGAATAATATCTTACTGACAGCCTCTATCTTATCTGTTTTTTCTTCTGCAGTGTAACTCCAGAAGTGAATGCACTAGGCAAACTTCTTTTTTCTTTTGCCCACAGCAATTTACTTAAACAGTGCTTGATAAATTCCCGACATTTTATTGCTTCTTTTTAAATTTTTATTCTGAGATGAGAAAACCATTCTCATTAGAGTTGTATTTCTCATATTAGTGCCCTAATTTGTCCTGAGACACAACCTACAGATCTTCCATGGGGTCAGCTGTTTTCAAATGAAGCTCTCTGTAGTCTGAAATGGGGATACAGTTCCAAAAGTATTGACCTTTTAATTTCTGATTAGTTCCATTACACTTTGTCTATCAACATTAAGTGCTTGCCACCTGATACTAAATGGCCCTCAGTCCACACAACAAAAAATTCCCAAGAAATTAAAAGATATTTTAGTGTTTCCCCTCCACCAACACACACACATGTACAAACATACATGGAGATCAAAAGGAAAGAGGAAAAAAGGGCATGAAATTCTCTCAAAAAATGGAACAGAAGAAATTAGCACATAATATCTAGCAGCCCAATAAAAATTCAACTGTTAATTCTCTGTACAAATTGCGGTGATACTAACCCTTTAGATACTCCGGCTCTGTCATTTACAATCTTCACTTCTTTTACAGACCCATACTGGGAAAAAAATTTTCTTAAATCATTTTCATTTGTCTAATGGCATAAAAAGAAAAAAGTAATAAAAGATGAAACAACTTATGTTTATGTTAGAGACAAAAAATGTTATGAATAACATGGTTAAATGTCTTTCATTAAAATAGTGCATTAAAACACATTATTAAAATACACCTTATTTATTTTTTAGCTGTGTTGTTAAACTATTATGTAAATCAAAAACATGTAAGCTGAATTATATATTCTCAAACTATAAATAAGCTTCACTATTTAAAAAAATTTTAGTGAAGCCTGCTAATCTGAAAGATGACAAATAGAGAGTCAATGTAATAATAAGTGACTGTTTTATTCCAATAAACACGAAATGAAATCAATGCTAGAATAAGAACTGCTATTGGAGCTAGGCATGGTGGCACACATCTGTAATCCCAGCACTCAGGAAGCTGAGGCAGGAGGGTCACCATGAGTTTGAGGCCAACCTGGACTACACAGTGAGACACTGTCTCAAAACTTACTCCCTAAAAGGAAAGGATTGCTGTTAGAATTTAAAAACACATTAATCCAAGCTATAACCTAAGAGTAAGAGTTTTAAAAAGTCTAAGACTGCTTGGTACTAGAGTGAACTATTTCCTTGCTGGAAGTTATCTATGGTCTTGGAAAAAAATGGAATCAAAAGGAAGAAACCCTTGTAGTTACTGGAAAGCTATGGCTGTACAGTAACAACGGCCTCCAAATTCATACTGTAGGCTTTGGTAATTTTAGAGAAACTTGTCCATAGCAATATTTGTGTTTATTGATGACTTATTTTTAATATATACTAAGTTGTATGAATTCTGAACAGGAATGCCCACACTGAATACTTCTGATGAGCCATTTTTTCCCCACAGACACAGAAAATCTTTTAGAAACTAATCATTTTCTAAGAAATTATTTTTAATGAAAGTCATATACATAAGACTTGTTATTTTGGCAAATATACTAAATTATACTAAAGTGTAAGATATTTTAAGTAGGAAAAAAGTAATTCTATTCAAATAGTGACAGACTGATTATATGATTATATGGAAACAAAAAGCTATAAATGTCAAATACTGAACCTAATAGCACAAAGATTTTTCTTTCTTGTTAAAAGATATGCTCCCTGTGATTTCTAATGCATGATACAAAACCTTAGGAATCCTTCTATATATCCATTTTGAAGCTTGGGTGCTTGACTTCAGATACTCACATGTGCCTTTCTTGAAGGTGCCTACCACCTTTCATCTAGGGTGCTGCCAATCACCTCATCTATGATTCTCTTCAGGAGTGAAACCGTCAGTTATCCAACATAAAGTACACTATGGTCAAGATGCTCTATTCTGACAATGTCACTGAGCTTTTTTGGTGATCAAATTCTCAATACCACTACAGAGAGTTATTTGGAAAACTGAAGTTTTGGGGGTTGGACCTCAGATAAAGGTTGAGAGCGGATTTTTCTTGAGTCTTCCTCTGAAATTTTAATCAAACATTATTTGGGTAATGGCATACTATACAAGAAAATACAGTGTGGCATGGTGACACCAAGAGCATGGAATTCAAATCAGAAAAGTAGGTTTCTAGTCTTGATTTGTCACTAAATAGCTAGGAGCCTACGGCATGCGAATGAGCTTGTTTCCTTGCATATGTAACAAAACAATTATACTGGTCTTAACCTTCGGAGTCTTTATATAAGCACAATCTGAAACCTATTAATATGCAAATACATTATGTATTTCTATAGTTGTACAGACCACCTCAGAAATATCTTCTAATGCAAAACACTATTTAAAAAATGTCCTACTGTTCTATGTTGTATGCATAAATAGGTACCTTAAAGTCAATTCCTCCTACAAAGATGCGATTGGGTATCACAGTTCCATATCTTGGGGCACTTGTTGGGTTATTCAAAGGCACTGGTGACACTGGATTAGGGGATGGAGAATCTGTTTGTGTCTGATTTGATGTTTGCTGTAAAACAAAATTAAACTTTCAGCACTTTTATGTTTTTTTTTTTTCGGTGCCAGGGCTTGAACTCATGACCTTATGCTTGCCAGGCAGGCGCTTACGCTACTGAGCTAAATCCCTAGCCCTATATGACTTTTAATAGAGGCTGTAAATGTGTATTTTACTAAAAGATGGGTCATTTAGGCAAACTTTAGTATTACAAACTTGACTTTTAGTCTACTAGTAAGAGGATTATAATTACAGCCAGTAGCTTTTGGGGGCAACAAAAAATAAACCACAGACTACCACAGGAACATTCTTAAGCTATTAAATGTATAACTTAAATATATTTCCAGTTATTATTTCCAGTTAACTTAAATATATTTCCAGTTAAATATATGTAGTTGTTAAGGAAAAATATTAAGCTCATACAGAACAGAAACTGAAAGCTGGCACAATCAACTAGGTCCACCTGGGTGTTATCAGCAGTTGGCCTTTGATCACAGCTAGGCTATGGTGTTGTCTTGTTAAAACCATCAGATAGCTCACTCCATGATTAAAGGATCAAGATAACAACATAGCCAGACATCGTGGCACATTCCTGTAACCTAGCACTCTGGAGGCTGAGGCAGGAGATCACTGTGAGTTGGGACGCTAGCCTGGCCTGCACAGCAAGGTCCTATCTCAAAATAAAACCGAGGCTTGAGATTTAGCTCAGCGGCATAAGCGCTTGCCTTGCAAGTGCGCAGTTGTGAGTTTGATCCCTGGTACCAATAATAAAACCAAAAAAACAAAACCAAAAAAACCAAACAAACCCAAGATCACTCCATCACCTGGTGTGCAAACTGACAAAAACAAAAATGTTGCCCAAACCTAAGAATGACCAAACATCTTTCTGGAAAATGTGTGATTGATCCTTCTTTAGCAATCACAACTTTAGCTTTGATCTTTGAGAACATCCACACAATCATACAAATATTCTCATTTCCTGACAATGTGTATTCCAGAATAAAGCCTGTTTTTCCTCAAACATTAAAAATTACTTACATCCTACAGAAAGATCTTTTTAACATTTCTGAGAGGCCACATGGTGTATCGTCTTCCTCGTTCCACACAACCCAACTTTATTAAGCCACAGGTGTCTTCCTGGTACCCTTTGGCTAACAGTCATTGACAAATTAATAATCAAGTTTACCCTTTTCAGAAAGTCAAATTTTTAAATGCACTTATGCGCTACAAAACTGGAGTACATACCTATAGCTTGTAGACAAATCTTTATACAGAGAATTGAGCTCAGTACCTATCCACACATTCACAGCTGTACATCAGAGGATCTCCTACACATTTCATAAGTACCTATAAAAGTATAAGGCTTTTTACAATGGCAGGCTAACAGACTTCTAAGGTAAAACTAAAAAAAAGCCTTGAAAACAGAATTTTGCAAAGAAACCTATTAAAATATTTACTAATTACTTTCCTCCGGGGAACACTATACAGACTCCTGACACAGTTTTACAACCATGAAAAGCAAAGCACCTGCCTGGCAAGCACCAGGTCGAGAGTTCAATTCCTGGTACAAAATAAAAATAAAAACAATGAAGTTCATAATTCCAACTAACTGAGAAATATATACATGGAAATTAACTTTCGATTTTGGTAATAGAGTTATTAATTTCTTCCAATAAATGCAACCATAATCCCTAACAATCTGCGCAAGACGCTGAGAAGCAAGTGTGCCAGCGGGAGTGCGGGGCCTTCTGGAATCTCCCCGAGGGCTGGGGCGGGGGCGCATCTGCCTCTCACAAGGAGTGCACAGGCTCCTCTTCTAAATTACAAAAACCAGCGCATCCCACGATCCCTGGGTCCTGACTTCCCGAGGAGGGGCCCCGGGAGCGCCTCGGTCCGGTCGGTTTGTTGACGCAGAGCTCACGGTCTGCCCCCCTGCACACACTGCGTCCCATGCGCTCCTTCGTTTTCACACTTGTTGCCACAGAAAACAAAGGGCGCCCGTCTTCGTCTTCGGTCAGGGGCAGGGTTCCCGAGGGCGACCAGGCTCCCGAGCCCCCCTCTCCTGCCCCTGCCCCAGCCCCACGCCCGCTCCTCTCACACCCCGTCCGCACGCCGGGACGGAGGCGTGAGTCTGTCTTGTCACCGTGGACCCCCAGCCTTCGGGCCAGCAGTGGCGCCCCCGCCCCCAGGGCCGAGACCACTTCCGGGGCGCCAGGGCACAAGCGCCGGCCGGCGAGGGCGGGATAACCGTCGCCACCGCGGGCGCCGCCGCCCACCTCCTCGGGCCCTCGCAGGCCGTCGAGCGTCGGGCCAGGGACGCGAGCTGTCGCCCCCTCCCCGCCACCGTGCGGGAGGGAAAAAAAGGCCAGCCAACGGGAAATGGTGCCGGGCGAGCCCGCCTCAGCGGGGGCGGGAACCTCAACGGCTGCGACCGCCGCCGGCCTCGTGTGCCGCGGCCACGTGCGCCGTCAGCGTGGGCCGATTGGCTGCCGGCCAAGTGCGGAGTCCGGCGCCGCGACACGTGACCGAGGGCCTGGCGCCTGAGGGGCCCCGCTTCCCGCCCGTGGACAGGGGCGCTCACGTGGCGCGCGCTGATTGGCTGCGCGCCTCACACTGGGGGCCCGGCCTTCTGCCCCACCAGCCTTCAGGGCCGACCGCACCCACCCCTGGCGTCCCGGGGGGTCTCTCAGGCGCCAGCTGTGCCAGCTGCGGACCGGCTGCTCCAACTGCCCGTCGCTCCTCCTGGCCGGGACTGCTGGCCGGGGCCCCTCCTGGCCGGCGGGAACCAGCGCTGGGGAAACCAGGCCAGTTTCGGCGGGAAAACACTTCGTGCGACGCCCCTGAGCCGCCCCGCCAGCTGGGCCTTGCTGACGACGCCTAAAGTGTCCCCACAGGTCCCCTAAACCGTCTGGTCCTGCCCCAGCCGGCCTCGTCCTCCCTGTCTCGCCCCTCCTTCCCCGGGGGGCGCGGGGTCCCAGCAGACTCACCGCCTCCATCTCCCTCCCGGAAGGCGGGGTCACGCTGCGCCGTCACCCAGACGCCACGCGGACGTCAAGGGACGCACCCCCTGCCGGCGACGGCGTGGACCCCGTGTGGGGGCGGGGCCAGCGGTGGGCGGGGGCCTGAAGGGCGGGGCTCGGGGTTCACACCTCTGAGATGGTGTCTTTGATGCCCGGCAGCCCTGCAAATCGCGCTTTTTCATGGTGTGTGACAGTGTGGTCGACCACGGAGGACACGCGAGGTGCCAGCCAGAAGTGAGCAGGTTGAAATTTGAAAATGGTTTGCGGCAGCGAAAGCCATTGCCTCCAGCCTTCTCCAGAGCCTCTCCTCGCTGCGGCGGCACCCTGGTCCCTTGGCCCTGGGGCTCCCGGCAGCAGCTCTGTGGTGCCCTTTTGTGAGGCTCTGGGCGTGCTGCCCACGTGGCCGCTTGAGCCCTGGAAAACGGTCGCCTTTGGGGGTAGGCTTGACTTGGGGGAGGAGCCAGGAGTCTCACCATACCTGGCAAGGAAGGCGGATGAGGATGATGTTTTTATTTGACAGAGGTTGTTGTGCACGTTTGAGCCACGAGGGATGAGCAACAAATAGTGAATATTTAACTTTAAAATGTTTGCTACTGTAAAAGACTCATTTTCTTAAGTTTTAGTTTGTGTGGAAATAAAACAGAAACCTATTCAACTTAAAACTCGTATTCTAGAGCACAGTAATTTTACTGTTCAATACCATGAAAACTGACCTTCTTGGAATCTACCATAATCTACCTTATACCGAAAAGAGTTCCTAACGTTTTGAACACATCCCATCATTCTTGGCAAGGTTTCTTTTCCTGTAGTAAATTTTCTTAAATTGAAGTATTTCACCACCTATGTTGATCACCCTTTGTATGTTAAGATGGTTGTTGCTCCAGTTGCTATCCCTTCGAGGCACAGCGCTTTATGATCATTTCATTATCTTAGCAGCCCTCAGATAAATTCTATTATGTCACAATCATGAATGCAGAAGTTTGGAGAGAATTTGGTTAAGATCTGAAGCGCTAGGACATTTAACCCTTGGGTATATCTAACCCAAGTCCTTGACCTTAATAGGCCCCTATTTTTAAAGAGTCAGCACCTGTTAAAAGTTGTATTTCGTGGCAATTTTGTAACCGTTTATTATAGTTTGGCACTGTATGATTTTACTTTCAAAGTGGGTTAAAAATTAAGCAGAGTGACCACAGTAATTTTAATCCATTCAAAGATTACTCATATCCTTTGCCAAAAATAGAAATCATTTTTATTTTAGCTGAAGCATTTTTAAGTTGATAAACATTTTCAACTCATTAAGTTTCAGTTTGTGTGGAAATACAATAGAAACCCATTCAACTTAAAACTTGTATTCTAGAGCACAGTAATTTTACTGTTCAATGCCATGAAAACTGACCTCCTTGGAGTGAGGAAATGGCTCAGTGGTAAAGCACATGCTTAGCAGGCCAAAGCCCAGGGCTCCACGCTCAGCCTTGCAAAAACACAAGCAAGAAAAGCAATCTTTGAACATTTTTTCCCCAACAGTAATGATGGGTTTGAGTACATATTGTTACTGTCTTTTGCCCAAAAAACCAACTAAAAATATTTACTTTTAATTAGCATACTAATTATACACAATAATGGGTGACATTTTCAAACCGATATGTAACAAACTTTAATTGTGTCTACCATTTGTTATCCTGTCCTCTCTTCCCGTCCTTCCCGTCCTGGAAACACTTTTTTCTACTAGCTCCTCTTCTATTCTTTACTTTCGAGTTATCTTTGTTTTCCCTCACTGCCTTCCACATGTGAGAGAAAACATGCGGCCCTTGAGTCTGGCTTGCTTCACTTGATGGGATAACCTCCAGTTCTACCCATTTTCCAGCAGGTGACATCATTCCATTCATTTTTAATGACCAAGTATACTCCATTGTGTATATGTACCACATTTTCTTTCCCCATTCATAAACATGCTAATTATGTGACTTTGCTGTTGCGAGTTGTGCTGCAATAAAATTGAGGACACATGCATCTCCACAGTCTTAATTAAAAATCATTATTCACTCATTATTGAGTCTGACACAAATTAACACAATTCCATGGATGGCAACTGTAGTCCAAGGCCTATGGCAGGTGCCAAGGAGATAGAATTCTTACATCAAAAAAAGTTTTTTATGTCAGTACTTGGATACATCACATAAAACAGTACAACTCAACCCAAATTAATAAACATTTATAGAGTTCTTGTTATGTACAATTGTCATGGAATGGAGTATGGGAGACACAAAGATGAGTATTAAACTTTTGCTTTTAAGGCATTTAATTTATTAATTTATCTATTTGGTATTGGGGATTGAACTCATGACCTGATGCTTGCTAGGCGGGCGCTTATGCCACTGGTCTACAACCTGAGCCCTAAGTGGTTTAAATACAGAGTGTAAGAACAGATTACACAAAATAGAATCTGTTGGGTTTTTCCCATGCGCTCCACCCCATCTCAAAACCAAATAAAAGCACACAGTTTTCTTTGTCTCCCGCAGAGGGTACTTGTGTCTCTTTGGCAGCCCTCCTGTACTGGCAAGAAAGGCCTCTTTTCTTTCTTTCTCTATTTTTTCTCCTTTTGTCTTTCTCTTGCATTGAAGGACCGAAGAGTTTTTATACCTAAATATGCTTATACTAAATGCAGTACAAGCAGAAGATCCATGATACCCTTAAAGAGGTAAAAGTGACTCTTGACACATTGCTACTTTGGATGTAGTTTTCAAAACTTAGATATATGGCTGGGAAGTAACTTCATGGTAGAGCACTTGCCTAGCATGCCCAAGGCCCCCAGCAAAAAGGAAAAAAAATTCTATTTGACCCCATTGCCCCTGTGCCACGCCTCCAGTGTTATTCACACCATGGCCACACGAGTTAGAATTTATTCCGGAAGCCTTTGCAAATTAGGAGTCACTGAAGATCACTGAAGCAGGACATTGCATAATCAAAACTAAGTTTAGGAATATATTCTCGGATTAGAGAAGAGGTTTTGAGGGACAGAAACTGGAAACCATTGAATTAGAAGAAAACAGCTCAAATAAAATGGCTTCTGTTCCTGCCAGAAAGGTGGCAGGATGAGCAGAAAACGTTGGGAAGGGCTTGAGGAGACGGCTGGGGCTGCGGAGCATGGGCAGTGATGGAGAGGGAAGCGTCTGGACCAGTCAGAAGCCTGGCTTTCAGAAACTGGAGATGCTGTTCACAGAGAGAGATTAAAAAGTGGGGTCCACTGGTTAGTCCATGAGCTCTTTTGCTCAGCTTTTTTACTGACAATAATTTTACATATTTGTGGAGTAGAATGTGAATTTTTTTTTTTTTTGTCTTTTTGAGACACGTCTAACCATGTAGTTCAGGCTGGCCTTGAGCTCACTATGTGGTCCAGGCTCGTCTTAAACTTGCAATGATCCTCTTGCCTCAGCCTCCCGAGTGGCTGGGATTACATGCACAGATACCATCATACCCAGTTCCCCTTCTGTTTTCTTCAAGTAGATTTATAGTTTCAGGCCTTAATCCATTTTGAGTTGATTTTGGCGTATGGTTTCCAATAAAGATCACTTTCATTCTTCTCTTTTCCTGAAGCCATTTACCGAAAAGACTATTCTTTGCACCTTTGTTGAAAAATCAGCTGAGTTAGACTGTGCACATTTACCTTTGGACTTTGTGTTCTATTCCATTGGTCCATGTGTCTGCTTTTATGCCAATACCATGCTATTTTGACTGCAGAGTTTTAATCTGTTTTTAAACCAGAGAAAGGTAACTCCAGGTTTGTGCTTTTTGCCCAAGATTGTTTTGGCTATTTGGTTTTTGGTATGTCCCATATGAATTTCAGGATTTTTTTCTGTTTCTGTATAAAATTTCTTTGGTATTTTGATAAATGTTACATTTGAACATGTAGATTGTTTTGGGCAGTATGGATATTTTAACAGTATTTATTCTAAATCATAAACACAGGATATCATTCCATTCATTTCTATTGTCTAATTTTCTTTTTTAAAAATAATAAAAATGATGATATAGATTCAAAAAATAGGAAATTAACACTGGTTAATATAGTGCATATTGTTGTCTTCAAAGTAGTTGTTCAGATTACAAGATACAGGCATGAAAGAATGATCAAACAATAGAACAATGAAAACACAAACTTCTTTTTGATGAACTAAGAGATTAGTAATATAGTTATCTATCTTGTATATGAATATATATATACACACATAATCTTTTTCCTTCTTTTTTCCTTTCCCCATCCTAGCTTTTCTTTCCTTTCAAGCAGTTTCTTTCCCCTTCTCTTTCACCATATCTATTCTACATTTTAGATCTTATTTACTTTCATTTTTTTATGTTAGGGGACAATATGATATTTACACATGTGAATCTGATTTGTTTCACTTATGAGCATGGTCTCAAGTTGCATTCATTTACCTAAAAAACCTTCAGTCTATCCTTTTTTATAGCTGAGTAACACTCCATTGTATAAAAATACCACATCTTTTTATCCATTCCTTAGTTGATGGGCATCTTGAGTGTTTCCAAGATTTAGCTATTACAGATTGTGCTGTTATAAACATGGGTGCACACATATTGCTATGGTCATCTAATTTTCTTTCATCAATGTTTTTGATTTTTAGGAGAAGACCTTTATGTTTGGAAATATCTTACCTGTAGAAGTTTTTGCAATATCAATGATCAGATATTTCCATAAGAGCGCATAAAACTGCTCCAAATAAAATATAAGACCTATAACAAGAGAGAGAGTGACCCAGAATGTGCTGATTGTCTACGGCGCAGTCCTGTGCTGTGTGCTCAGCCTACATCTTTGTCCTAAATGTTCTCATTTCTTGACCCCTACTTTTGTGGCTGTTTTTAACCCCTTTCCTGGTCATGATACACGAAGTGTTTTTGGAGACATCATGATACTTTTTAGTTCATATTTCTCGTACCCTTGGGCATCTTGGTAATGTGTTCCATCCCCAGGGTCTTTCTGTTCCCAGCATTTGTAATGCTTGTGTATAAACATTTGGCCACTCTATTCCAGCAACTCCATTGTTCTTGAGTAGTGGGCGGCTGATA